ACAGCCACTAGCTACACCAAATACTTAAAATTAAAGAGTTTGTCTACAGCATGCCACTGCCTGTCCAGCTGCCTAATCCCATTCCTAAGCTTTAGCTAACCAAACTCCCCCCATGTTCTCTCACTATGTTAGTTAGTTGAGAAAGAAAATACTACACAACCTCCACTCCCAGAAGTTTGTTAACATTTCGAGTTATTCAGACCAATTTAATATAGAATCTGTCTTTAAAATCTATTCGAAAAATGAAACTAAACAGACGAATCCTTCTTCTACTTCCCCAATCTGATCTACCTGACCTTCACTCGTATTATCAGGACGAATTGGTAAACGATACAACCGGTCGGGCTGAGACGATGACACGGGTGATGGGTGTGATGTTGATGCAGCTAGCTAGGCTAGGCTAGGCCTACATGTATCCACACTTAACTGCAGCAAAGCATGAACAATGATGTAAGCCGAGTGTATGTAACATGCGGTTGTATTGTATAATGCCAAAAATATAGTGAAGAAGATGGATAGGGATAGGGAGAGGTGGGTGTGATTCTTAGCGTAGAAATTGAATTTGAGAATAGACACACGAGTAAAATTTCAAACCAACAGGTAAACACAATGAATCGTAAATAGACCCAATCGATGCATAATATCTGTTCTATTTTCATGTTGTTGTGATTGTATCTCTGTTGTCACAGTTCTACTGCAACCAAAACAACAAAAATAAAAGTGCTTGGAGTGGCTTTTCATGGGGGAATTGAGAGTTGGTGTGTATGATGTAGGCCAAGTGATTATCTAAACAGATTTATTCTATATTTCCCCACCTCTTTTTTTATTCTTCTTCTTCTTCATTTATTTTCCCCCTTACTGTGCCATCATTTTCTGAGATCTGAGTAATAACAATAAACAATAATGAATATTAATGAACCCACCACCATATATATTTTGTTTGCTTCTTTCTAGTTTGTTGCCCACTACACTTCCATCTTCTCATCAGTCATCACACTCTCTGGCTCAGTGAACTTAACTTAATACACACTCCACTCCTCTCCACTTCCACACGTCACATGCAAAATCACAATTCACACACACAGCCAAACCCATTTACTTCCTCACCCAAAAAACCCTAATAATAATAATAATTATTATTATTATTATTATTTAACAAATATACATAGGAACAACAAAAGAAAACGACTTTATATAAATTTGTGAGCCACAAAAGTCATGAAAGAGCATGTTAGTTACAACTAAGCCAAGTAGCCAACCCCCTTCCCTTTGCCCTATCTCTTTCTAACTAACTAACAATGAAACCAATAACTCCTTTTGGCCTTTTTCATTCAAATAATAAGAACAACAAAATAATAAATATGAAAAAAGAATATAATGTTCTTGGTTGTCAGAGAGCAAGCAAAAGCAAGGCCACTTCCCCTCTCCTACTTCATCAGTTTTCTTGGTTGTCAGTGAACTAACTGTCTTTGCCCTTTGGCCTTCCATTGAGGAATTCTTTTTTGTTTTTGTTTTTTTTTGCTTTTTGGCCTAATAATTATCTAGCATTATCAAATGGGTTAATTAGTAATAATGCAAAGTGGGCAACTTGGGTGTGGAAGTTAGGAATGGAGTGGAGACTGGTGAGGGGAAGCCAACCAGAACTTCACTTTTTCTCCCTCAGTAATCAGTAGCTATATATAGGATATTTTTTTTTTGAGGGAGTTATATATAGGATAATTGATTATATGAATTAGGTCATATTACTCACATATATAATTGATTAGGTTAGACTTGGAATAAAAGAAGAACAGTTGACTTACTAGCTGCTGAGGCAACAAGGCAGTCTGCAGGACTATATTTCATATTTGGGGTTTCTTCCAAATATCTAATGTAAATATATGAAATTGTATATGCAATGTAAGAATTAGAATGACTCTTATACTACCTCGCTACGTAATTCACAACGCAAAATTTGACGTAGCTCAATTACATTTTCAACTCTCGAAATCGTTAGAGAGTAGTCAGATCGAGTCGAATTCGAAATTATTTCATAGATGAAATGACATGTTGAGCAAGAGGACGACAATGTGTACTTATGACAATGTATTGGAAGGGCAACTATACTTTTTTAAACATAGTGACCATTTTCATACTTAGCATTGTCAAAAAAAAAAAAAAAAATTTTATAATGTACTTAACAACTAGCTATAGTACCATAGGTTTGCGAGTTACAATCAATCTATCAAAGTTCTTTCTCCTGTTATCTACGCTAAAAAGGAGAAAACCTAAGAAGAGGAGTACGTACAAAACTACAAACAATACCATTTACTCGATTATGCTCTTGACAGTGCAAATATATGGATCAGATCCGTCTTGAAAAAAGGAATTAACATGATGACACGTACTTAGTAATGGAATTCATCAAAGCTAGTTTAATTAGTTTGCAATAGACTCTTTCTTTCCATTCGTTTTTTTTTTTCCTTCACACCAAAACAATCCACTCTATCTATCTAGTGGCTGTTTGCCAATTGTTGTGCCGTCGACCTTTGAGTGTGCGTGTTCGACAAATGACTTCCATCATGCCCACAACTCCCAAAGCCCTAAATAACGCTTTAAAACTATACAAAAACAACCCAACACGTTCTTCTTCTTCTTCTTTTCTGTTTCTGTTTTGTTCCTTTGTTTTGGTCAGTTGGTGCCACTTGCTCCACTCCCTGCCTTTCACACTTTGCCTCGTGAAATCCACGACGCGGTGGGAAGATCGCATTCGGTGGTGGCCGGTAGTATTGGTTTTATATCGCTCCACCGGCCGGCAGACGAGCTAATGAATCTGGTCAACTGGGATTTTGGGTATTTAAATATAATAATGATTAATGAATAAGCATTCAACTAACCCAAAGATGTATTTATTTGTATATTGTCAGTACACAAAGAGTAAGTAAGCAAGGAAGGAGAATTGGAGTATTGTTGTTAACGATTGTGAGAAGTAAGAGTAGGAACAGGGGGTTTTGTCTACCTAATTAGATTGGTTAGTTGGAGGAGTACTAGTGGAGTCTTAATTGGAAAGATTGGGTTTGTTGGCTTCCACCCAACAAATCATTTTGTGTACATACTAATCGCGATTTTTTTTTTCCGGATTGTGATCCGTGTGATATGATATTTCAATTTTTTTCTTCTTTACAATTTCTGTATATGTACGATGTTGGTTTGATCACACTGATTGACTTCTCGTAAATATCGTCGGACTTTGAATTAGGAAAGGTAAAAGGGAAATTGATCAATGTCAGCAATGAATCACCAATGATCATATGTGAAAATTACTTAGCAAGAAAGAGGGGAGGGATTAGAGGTTAGGTCTTAGTATTATAATTATGCTGCCGATCCATATGGGTGGTTTGCCCTCATTTTGACTAAAACCTTTTGCTTTATTCCAATCAATATTCACTTCCATTGCAAGACTAGCACGATAATGGTCGGCAAAGTGAAGATTTGGTGGCGGCAAGGAAAGGGCACGGGACACTTGCAAGGCACACCAATCTAGTGAAAACTGAACTACTCTTCAAGTTTAGGGGGAAATTTTGGCAGAAGCAATGTAATCGCGGTTAAACTTAAACCGAGTCTTAACTATGGTTACAAACATATATAATAATTAATTAAGATTCAAGAGAAAAAGATGTGTCCAAGCCTTCAAGCTGACATTGGGACATGCACTTTAACCTGGAGAAAAAGACCTTCAAGAAGTCCTTTGAGACATTTGAAGTAGTTCAAGTAAGATGTGATAAATTGAGGAGATAAAAGGAGACATTGAGAGGAGTAAACCGTATATATATAGGTTTTCATTTTACTCGAAAAATAAAATGGGCACGCGACGAAGAAAGGTGCTCGAATTAGTATAGGTTCTGATTTCGTACCATCCACCACCCATATTTACCACAACTTTGCCATTTTTATCTCTATATTTTTTTTTACTTTTTTTTTTATGAAATTATGTATTGGAATGGTTCACTTGTGTGTGCCTAAAACACCTCCACGTTTACAGCACCAAAGAAACATCACAAGTAAAGAAATCGGGTGAGGATGGGAGTGAAAAGAAGGGAACATGAATGAATTGGTAGGTTAGGTTTCGTCCGGAAATTGTTGAAACCAAACATGGAATGTGTGACGAGACCTAATTAAACGCCAATTCATGTGACCTAGCTATAATATACTATGTTATGTATACTATACTACTCTCTACTTTATGCACAACATCTGCCTTTCTCGTTTTTGTAAGTTTCGAAAGAACATTCTAATCACACTGCTGACTTAAAATACCAAATAGGCTACCCACCTTCTACCGTATATCCGTAGAGTAGAGAATCTAGTTACAGTCATTACGTAATTGGTATTCGAATGTTCTAACGGAAAATTACTATTGGCTCGAACGATTTATTGTTCTTGATTCGTAGAAATACAAAATCAAGTTACGATCATCATATATGTTGAGATTAGGATATTACGTTTTACCGTGAATCCTTCCATAAATCGGATGGATATTTCTCGAGCTCACGGACGGCCTACAGGATATACACTTTAGTTTTTATGTTGGGTGCCTTGGACGTTTGAGCATACATTGGGCCACAGATGGGCTGAGATATGAAAATATAATTGTCAACATGCGGCCCAATTCAATTACAATTAAGACCATTAGACACTCATGGAAATTATATAATAATAATAAACCGGCCCAAATGCCCAATGCCTCTTGGCCTCTTTTCTTCTTTAGTTCTTACATACTGCAATTACAGAAAGCGGCTGCCGAACTCCAACAACAAACATGTCAAAGTATCTGCTGCTGCTGAATTCGCAGATTTTATTGGTTCTGTTTCACTCAATTGCATGCATGGGTACATATCTAAACTGGAGCCATAATCAACTGTAGCCTCTACTCCTCTAGAATGAGAAGAAGCTAAGGAATATAAGCAAAGGCCACAGTCCACAGACACTCCAGAGTTCGATTCGTTCTACTACGACTTGCATTATATAGGCGTCAAACCAACAACACCTGCACAGCAAGGAAGGGTACAGAATGTGATGATAAAGAAACTTCAATCAAAGGTTACTATAATACACGATGAGTTTCCAATGGAGTCGGCCAGTCAGGCACACGAGGGACTCCATTTTGACAATAGAGTTTGTGCATGATGGTACAGGTCCTCATATCTGGATTGAAAACAGGATATCTCAGACCAAGATTAACTTATCCGTCAAAACTGAGTTGGGGCTTCTGAAAACATTAGTCTTTGATCTTGAAACGACCGTACGAAAGTAGTGCTACAATCTTTTAAGGCTTGCTTACCAAACTTCAAATGTCAAGCTAATGGATCTACTCCTTTTTAGTATAGTCGCACCAAAAACTTTTCGATCTACCGGTATATAGAGATTTGGCAAGTGAATAAGCTTTCAACGCAGCCCAGTATCCCTTCCTTTTCCATATATTTTTACGAATTCGCTTTTTGGACAGAGATGTTCGTTTTTTGGGAACTGCGGCAACTGCCATGTAAACAGTAAAGTAATTCATCACACACCATTCACATGGTTGGTCAGTCAACCAACAAGTGAGCTATATGCTCATGAGAGTTAGTCAAGGAACAGTCAATCAAGCAATGTTCATGGCTAGTGAGAACGACAGAAAGAGAGATATAGTAAGAGATTGAGAACTGAATTGGAAAGTGATACATACCGCATGCAAGTCGACCTCCTGCATTTCCTGTGCTCAGACTAAGCTCATGCCCACCTGAAATCCAAGATGGAAAACAGACAAGAAAGTGTGGGGGTTTTTAGTTTTCAAAGGTCAAAGAAACTTAACATGGGGATTCATGAATATCAAATGATCACACACTATGTACTTCGCATACAATGATATAATCAAATACCCAGTTTGCAGTCTATCAGTCCTAAACACACAATGTAAACCAAATGGAACATTTGGCTGCAAAACATAGATAATTTCTCAAGAGAAACAGAGAAGAAAAAAACGGAGGTATGTCTACTACAGTTCAACAAGAGCAAATGGAGATGATTGATCTTACCCTTTCCTAGATCATCCTCCAGCTCATGGACCACAAAAGCCCTTCCAACTACTGCATTAGGGCCACTCAGAGGGATCTGTTAACATTTTACGACGACTTTAAAACTTATCAAAGGGAAAATTTGAACGGAAAACAAATCATCACCACAATGACAAGCCTGATAGAGTCTTAAACAATAGAAGGAAGGTTGGCATTTGGCCTCCCGACGATTGGCTACTAAGGTATGGAATCAGCTCCAAAGCTAACCTGTGTGTCCACAATTGTTGTTTCTGCTACACCTGTGACACCAAAACAGATGATTATGCCCACATATCGAGGTGCTTAGACAAAACACAAACAACAACACAGGAACTCAAGCGTGGCAATATACCATCAGCATTAGCAATTATGTTTCCCAGGTCGCCCGCATGTCGGACTTCATCTTCAGGAGCACCATGAGTCAAGCCGTTGGGATTGAAATGTGGTCCTGTTATTCGTATATGAGAGATTGGGGCATAAGAAGAAAGATCAGAACTTTGCAAATTAGGAAATCTTGAGCGCATCAATTTTGTCAACACAAAAAACAATTCAGGAAAGAAGACTACAAGATCCAACCTGTTGAAATGCAGCCATTCGTTGTGTCCCCATACTCATGCTACATAGCAAATAATCCAAAAAGCACTCATTAGAACCGGAGAAATTGTAGACAAAAAATCTCAATCTTCAAATGGCCATAGCAGAAAAACCAACTCACCAGGTGGAAACCATGAAGCCCTGGAGTGAGACCAGTGATACGAACATTTACAGTTGTTGGGCCTGCTGGAAAGTACAAGGGAAACAAAAATGATGGCTTAATTACCTATTGTAGCGTGTCAATGCAAAGCAACTAAATTCAGTAATGGCATTTACCCCCATTAACCATGATTTTCTGAAGTCAAGAAAGCAACTTCCACGACAAATTCAATTAACTATCTCCATCCCAATTCAATCCACTTGCCAAAGTACCCACAGAAGGGGACAGGTGCAAATGGACCAAATTCAGCAGTCATCTTCATCATCCAAACAACAATTACGAAAATAGATGAAAGACCAATTCAGCAAAATCTGGACAATCAAAGCAGAACCCGATTACCCCTTCAATCTCATGTACCCATCAGCTAGAAAACAGAGACCCGACAAAGAAAACGGAGAAATTTAGCGGCAGAGGTCCAAAAAATAACATACCGTCGTCTTCCTGAGTCAAGGTGACAACGCCTTCGACACTGGAAGTGCCTTTCAAAACAGCGACGGCCTTCTTGGTGGCGGCGGCGACGACGGTGAGGGGCTTCCTGGTGGAGGGAGCAGCTAGGGAGAGAGAAGCCATGGACTGGCGAAGAGGGAGATTAACACCATGGAAGAGGGAACGGAGAGCCGGTGGTTGGTGGTTGGCGGCTACGGGTTTCGAAACGGGGGAAAGGAGGGCATAAGACGAAGGGGAAGCGGACAGGATAGCGTTAGCCCCCATCGCCGTTGATGCAGCTGCTTGCATCTTTCTTTCCGCAGGGAGAGAGATAGAATGATAATGCGAATTGACAATTGAGGTACTCAGAGAACAGTGAGAGAGGCGGTAGAGGACTAGAGGTCGTAGTGGATGGGGGAAGATTGAGGAAGGAAGGAAGCTGGGACAGACCACGCCTGTTTTACCTGATTTGTTTAATTTGTTTTGGAATGGATATGGACTCTCATCGAGTTGATTTGTTCTAATTCGCTTTATTCTCAATTCAATTCGTTCTTATCAAAATTACATGTAATTTTATTTGAATTACTTAAGATTTTTTTTGTTACCTTATATTTTAGCTATAATAAAGTTATAAATTAGTGAAAACTTCAATTTCTTCAATAATTTAGCTACATTTATCATGATATGGTTTGTTTTCTTGGTCTTATAATGAATATTTCTAATGTTTTCCATATAAATTGCATATTCATTAGACCGACCTGCCCCGATCCGCGATCAATGATAAATTAGCCTACCTGTACCCAACCTGCCACATGGCGGATATGGGTATCATTACACCCGCCCCGGACCTACCAATTGCCATTCATAGGAATGGTATGTTTTGTTTGGACTTTTACCTGTTTTACTCGCCAATAACTCGTCACAATATCGCGGGAATACAACGGTATTTTATAGATCGCCTTACTTATAAATCCGTATTCTATCGTAATAGCGGCGTAATCGATTTATTAGCCAAGTTTATCATTTGATTATTAATTTTTGTTAACGAGATCGAGTTGTATGTCAAGTACTACTCCAATACTCACGAATGCTCAACACTATTATGTATACATTGCTAACTATTAAGGTGGTATCTTGATTCTTGCACATAAAACGTATGCATATAAGATTTTAATTGGGCTAATACCACTAAGAAACCCGAAATATTAACTTTGTGTCATTTGTGTCCTAAAGTATTCGATACGACATTTGTGTCCTAAACTATTTCACCGTTAGAGTTGACCGGCGTTAACCGTTAGTTTTAACAGAAAATCCAGTAAGCGCTGATGTGGCATCTGAAGTGGAATTTATAATATTAATTTATAATTATTTTTCATATAAAAAAAGAAAATTACAAAATTACAAAAATCCACTAGGAAACCCTTCCTCTTCTCCTTCTTCCTCCTCGACGGATCCGCCACCAGAAGCGTATGATTTTGGGACTTTGTCGCCTTACTCGCACCATCGCCGCAGCAATGGAGGAGGCCGTCGCGAACTCGTCATCTTCCGCCGCGGCTCTGATGTGCTAGAGCAATATCTTGAAGAGCCAGCCGCCGGCGCCGTCACCAAAGCCACAGACCTCTACGAGCGCGACCCAGATGTTCGTCGAGAGCTGCAAGTCGAGCAAAGGGATTTCGGTGGGATGAAGCGCGTCGATTCTGTGCCTTCCTCGCCAACAACGATGGATTCCTGATCAGAACCCTCAACGACGACGACGGAGTCGATTTAACGTTGTTGGGGATCGATTCATCTTCTTCTCGATTTCAGACTCGGCCTCCCTGTTCAATTCGACTTCGACAAGCAGAAAAGGCAGATTTGCTTGCAATTGGGAGGACGAGATATGGTCGGCGGTGACTACCCTTACAGTTCTGCAATTCAATCGCGAAGGATTTTTCTCGGTGCTGGCTATTCTATATGGGGCGGAGAGTGATGGGAGTGTTTTTTATTTTAATTTTTAGAAACAATATTAATTAATTAAGTTTACATTTTTATAATTTTTATAACAATATATTATTTTTTTTAATTTTTAATTAAAAATACGAGGTGTCATTGACGTGGCATCTACGTGGCTGCCACGTCAACAAAAGTCAATGTTAATGTTGACTTCCGTTTGGTCAACCGTTATATATAACGGTCAACAAAATCGTCAGGACATAAATGACACAAAACTATAATAGGTTGGGACATAAATGTCGTATCGAATACTTTAGGACACAAATAACACAAAGTTAATAGTTCGGGTTTCCCAGTGGTATTAGCCCATTTTAATTTGTATAAACTAATATTGCAATTAAACACTCAATACATTGTGAATGTTTTTTAGTCATTGAAGTAAATGGTACATGTCTTTTTAAGTCGCTCCATTCAATTCTTAATCAAGAAAAAAAATATTTATTAACTAAATCCATCTTAAAATTTACAACTTTTTATCACATCCACACTCATGATGGCTTATTTAACCAATTATGAGTCATGCCTTTCTTGAATAAAGTTTATAAAGTCTTGATTTTTGAAATGATAGTTTATAAAGTGTTTCAATATTTCTGTCAACCAATCACTCAAATTGATTATTCTCCATCCCTTAAAAAAAACGATTCCATTCAATACACAAAATTGCATAAATTTCATGTTTATTTTAAGTTGCATTATAGAGCACCCGAAAATGGGTGAGCTGAAACTAGGCTGACCGCTCAAAATTGCATAAATTATAACGGTGATGAAGGATGAATAATGTTACTTCACAAACATGCAAGCGAATCAACTTTCATTAGCAATTGCAGATGTACAAATACACACATATATATACTTCTGTTTGGTATACATCTCTTTCTACTTGAACTGCTTTTGCTGTTGAACCACCAGTACAGAAGCTTTGGTCTCGAGATCTTTCGAGGCCAAGAGGTCTCCAATCACCCCTAGTTCCGGAAACTCACTCCATTCCGCCAGTCCAGCAGTTTGAGGCGAATCCACCCCGTCCCTTCTCCCAACCACAAACAAATCATAATTACCGGCAACCGCTCGAACCGCCGTTGCAGTTTGAGGTCCATCCTCCACCACCTTTTCACTGTACCTCACGTTCGGCGAGTTCGCAACTTTCTGCATCGCTTCCTTCAACACCACTTGGTCGATCATTCTCTCATGCGACAACCTGTTCGCCCTGACGTTATTATTTGTCACGTTAGCATCCTCCCTAGAGACGAGATGGAGAATGGTGAGCTCCAATGACGTGTCCCTCGCCATGCGAGCACCCAAACACAACGCCTCGTGGTCGTCCCTTCCACCCAAGTAGATCACGCACACCGAATACGCAGACGACAAGGAAGAAGAAGTAGCATCCGAGCTTCGCGCTGCGCCGCCGCCGGCGTCGTTAACCCTAACGTTCCCACGGTTGAAGTAGATCCCCACGGAGCAAGGCGCTCGTTCCAAAACCCTAGAGTTGAGCGCCCTCATGGTGTTATCTTCCGCTTCCACGCTCCCATCGAGCCCCCACGTGATGTGAAACGGGGTCAGGAGAAGCACGGTGGACTTGTCGAGCGCGAGCGTGCAGATGTCGTCGTGCATGAACTTGGTCTGAGAGATGGAAGTGAACGTGTTGACCGACGCGAGGCCGAACGCCCTCCTCTCGTACTGGTTGAACGCGAGGATGACCTCGATCGAGCAGTTGTCCGAGACGGCCTTCTGCTTTTGGTGAGAGATGAGCATGGGCGTGGCGCGGCCCACGAGCTCGATCAAGTGGAGGGCGTAGACTCCTAGAGGGTTGTCCTCCGTCGGGCACATGAGGTCGAGCAGGTTGATCATGTAGCCGACGTGGTGCGGCTTGTGGATACATGCAAGAACCTTGAGCTCGCTGTTGGGCCTCAGGCTGAACATGTTCCTCGCCTGGTAGCCGGCGTACTTCCTCGAGGGATCGTAGAGGTGCTTCACGATGATGGGGATGACGGTAGAGTTGAGAATGATATAGGCCAGACACAAGGAGAACAACGGCTCGGCTATGGCCTGGGTGTCCCTCTGGACGGCGAACACGCTGAGCTCGTAGATGCCCTTGGAGCACATGATGAGAGCGAGGACCGCGGAGTCGGATCGCGGCATCCACGGCACGGATAGCAACAAGCACGCGAGAAACTTGACGACGAAGGAGGCCAATATCGCTTGGAAGTAGTACCTTTTGTTGTTGAACCCTGTTGTTATCATGGTGTAGATATCTCCCCTCATGGCACACGTAGCGACGAAAACCGGGAAGAGGATGGAGTTGGTTACAACCTCTAGGGTTTCGATCACCGCGGAGCCCAACGGTGGGCCCGCCGGGACAGCTAGCCCTAGGATGAATGGCCCCAATGCTTGAGACTGCTTTAGGGCGTCAAACCCTATTTGGTAAAGCAATGCAACGGCTACGATGATGGGGACGCACGAGGAATGGAGCTTTTTCCCTTGAGGAGTCTGCTTAATCACCCAAAGCATGGCTGGACGAAGGACCAACGTCGCGAAGAGAACAAGAAGGACGGTCAATGTGGCTTGAAGTGGGCCGTGCTTCTCGGTGGTGAGGATCGCACTGAGCTCGAGACAGGCTGCTACGAGACCGGAGACTAGGGACGAGGATAAAGCGAGCCTGCCTAGCTCGGAGTTGGTGAGCTTGAGCTCGACGAGGAGGTGGGAGACGACGGGGAAAGTTGTCATGGCTTGGAGCGCGGTGAAGCCGATGATCTCCATTCTCTCCATTAGCCCCGGGCGGGAGAGGAGGCGGCTGGCTTGGAAAGCTAGGCCGATGATGTAAGGGACTAGGACGGATGCGATTCCTAGGACCATGGTCTTTCTCCCCGAGCGAATCAACATTCCGACGTCGGTCTTCACTCCGGTCATGAACATGAAGAATGAGTATCCCGTCATCGCCAGCGCTCCTAAAGAGTCTTGACTCGCGTGCGGGAAGAATACTTTCTTGTAGTAGTCCCATTTGCCCAAAAGCGTCGGCCCTAGAATCACCCCTGCCTGCGCGCGTGATATTCCTTATTAGAGTTGTAGTAGTCAGGGCAATTTTTGTCCATGCATGCACGTAATAGCACGAATGAGTTACGGAGTTTGTTCACATGTATACACGTACGTACCAGGCACTGAGTGACGAAGGGAACGATTCCGAGATAGCGGAAGACGAAATGCAGGGCGTTGCTGAGGCAGAGGATGAGCAGAACCTGGACGTTGAGAAGGGTGACGGAGGCTGAGAGGAGATTTTCGAGAGGGGAAGGTCCTTGGTTGATGAAAATTCCGCCGGAACGAACCCTAGGAGGGAAAGCGTAGCAGACCTCTTCGGTCACCCACGTCGTGTTGCTTTGGACCATCGACATTATTGTTTATGGGGAAAAAGGTTAATTAATATAGTTGGCAAGGGAATGGAGGGGGGATGGATTAACTAGCTAGCCGAGGAAGAATGCGGTGAAGGATATAGGGATTATATATCCTTCATCGCATAATATAGTTTATTTAAGCTTTATGTGGTTGTAAGAGGGAAGAAGGGGAATGATTCAATAGAGACCCGGCCACGATGAAGAATGCGATGAAGGATATAAGATTATATATCCTTCATCGCATTGTCTCGTGGTGACGGCCGTTCAGCGTGCGGTACGGTTTTGAAATATGAACTTGCGATGATTTTCAGAACGGAGAGAAACAATAATATCTGCTTTGGATGGGGGGTTTGATTTGATGAGATTTGGCATTGCCGACATCATATTTGTTGAGATGACAAGCTAAGTTTCTGGTGTCTATCTTCGTATACGGTTAACAAACTTATTTATGGTGGGCGGTTGGGATGGATGTTTTAGTTATTAACAGAAAGTAAAAAAAAAAAAAAGTAAAATGCGGTTTCGTATCACCGTTTCCCGGATGGTTCATATGCATGTAGTTTATTCTTTAGGAATTTTTTTGTATCTGTTTTCCCTTTTCTGTCATAACATATACGAGTTTATCTCCATGTGCTATTTCAATGAAAAATTTGAGATAAAATGCTTCAAAAAGAGACATTTTCCTTATATTTGTATCTTTGGGGGAAAGGAGCAAATGAGATATTTGGTTTTTTGTTTGAGTAATTTCCAAATATCTAGGGGTGCAATTTACCTGCAAACATTTCATTGTTTTTTCTATACGTTATAGGCTGAAAAATCGAACTATACGTGAACTGTCAAACTCGCAAGTGAGATCATGGTTACGGAGGAAGCTTCTTAAATTGTGCTCTTGGTTTCACTATAGAATATTGGAAGTTGATAGCAATTGCATGTGTAGTCTCCTGAGAAAAGGTGCGCTGGTTTAAGGTGGGGTAAATTGCATGATTGGTCATTGAAATTAAAAAACAAACATTTATGTTTGGTCACTAGAAATAATTAATTATGTTCGTGGTTATTAACTTTACATTTTCGTTTCATCATTGGTCACTCTCCGTCCAACTCCGTTAAGTTTGTCCTATGTGGAAGTCAACTCTATTAGTTGACTGTTAAATGAATGATGTGGCAAATAAAAAATAAAATAAAAAATTCCATTTGGTTTGCTTAGAATCCTTAGGTTTGTGCATTTAGGTGCTTAGCAACCTAAGAATTGTGCATAATTGTGCTTAGCACCCCTAGGTTCGTGCATATTGGTGCTAGCAATTTAATTAGCCACCTAATCTAGGTTAAGTTAGGACAACCCTCAATATTGAGTTAAGCAGATCGGTTAATCGCGATTAAGCCATCCGACCTTAGAGTTGAGTGAGGGAGTAAGTCAACTACCGCCTAGATATATAGCGGTACTAAACTGTCAGTGGCGAGGGAGGAACTGGGCATATGACATGGTACATACGTCGCTGATGAAAGAGCCAGCGGCGTAAGATTTGCAGTCGTCCAGCGCCGCCTTGGCACCAACAAGACAGTGTTGGCAGTGTTGGATGTCGGTCCCGGCCACACAACTGGCGAAACCTTTAACGTCGTCGTAGGTGCCATGCGGGAATATCCTGGTGTAAGTGAAGCCCATTTTGCTGGGCGTTGCATTCTGCAGCGAAGTGATAACTCTCTTCACGCATTTCTCGTAGCGATGACAAGTCATGGTATCGAAGGTGTAGACACCTCATTTTGTCCGTGTTGATACACGATTGACTAGGATAATTTAATTTACGCGAGGTAGACAATTTTGGTACTTAATCGTCATTTAAATTAAAAAGAATTTATGATTGTATTGAGATTGGCAATAGCAAATCTAAGAAGGTCAATATTGTCCACGATTGCATTGGACTTGGCCAATTCTTTGTCATGTTGGTTTGTTGCGATGGTTAATCAATTCAATAGAGTGGATTTAATTTGAAGAGTAAGGTTAGATCTGAATTGAGATGATAAAAGAAAAGAATAATTTAGCAAATTCTTTAATTAAGATCCATATAATCAATTACAAAGATACAATTTATTACAACTTACAATCTAATAATCGCTACAATTACAAACAAAAGCCTACCCAAGTTAAATCAAGTCAACTTCAGGCCCAGCCTAGGCCCATAGCAACGTCAAGACCAGCTGACAAGGTCAAGCCCAATGCCCAAGCCAAGTCAATCGGTTAGACCTGTATACATACAAACCGGTTCAACCAGTAACCCAGCTCGAATTGGTCCAACCCAATCCACCAGCTACACATATATAGTGGGCGACACCTATGCGCTCTCAAGGCCATTTTATATTGTGCCAACACATCCATTTCTTGACTATAAAATTAGCTCTTCTTCAGCTCTAAAAAAGAGAGAAAACACAGACAACAAAAACAAGGAGAACAAAATTTCCCCCCGACACTGTTGCCTTTTCCTGCTACTCTCTTCCTTCCATGTCCTCCTACTTTCTTCTTCCACCTACTCAAAATCTACACAAAACAGAAGACAAAAGAAGTTACAAAAAATCTCTCACCAGACACCCTACCATTACCGCCAACTTCAGCAAAAAAACCAAGAAGGAGACGACAAAAGAAGGTCAGAATCATCATCAAGCTACAAGTAAAGGTTGGTAGCGAAAACCAACCATCATAATCATCTCAATCATTCATCATCTTCAACAATCTTATTATAAGATCTTTGTTTTTGTTCAAAATCAAAATTCAATCAACCTTAATCAAATTACAGGATGACCAAATTGATTTAAAGGGGCACCAAACTCAATCCATTCGAATCATTCCAATCAAAATACAAGTTGGCAAGTTTCACCATAATAGCCAAGTAATGAACAAACCAGATTTATTGCTTTCATTTTAAGGTTCCCTACCTTTTATCTACATCTTGTTATTTCAATATTCCCATTGCTCAAGTTTATTACAAGTGAAAGCTAGATCTATATTTCAATCTCTCATATCTTTATGCCTTAATCGCTTTGTACGTTCATTTCATCTGTGACACCCCAACCCGTCCGGGTACTACTTTTACCAAAATTCTCTTGAAAAGTAATGAATATTAAAATGCTTTGAATAACAACGGAAACCTCGTACATGTAACAAAACTTAAAACTTGAACAACCTTGAGATATTTGACTTAGTAAAACTTCATCGTGAAATCACATCAAGTCTCTCATCCCACTAAAGTACTGAAGTACTTAACTTCTTCCATTTGGATTCGTCTGTACCCATTGATCCACGTGATGAATTGCTGAATCCATATGAGTGCTCATGTACTTCTACCATTCCTGGATGCGGGCGTTGGGGTCAGTCCTGATCCTATATTCCATTCTTAACATATAAAATCAAACAACATGCATATGAGTGCAACTGCCATGCAATGTCTTAGTACGTTATTAGGGCCGGGTACATTATTAAGAGGTATTGAACTTAAAATTCTTGTTCACTTTCTAGATATCTTGCATCTTTTTATCTTGTGACGATCCCCTACCTCGACTCAGCTAGCGCCACTACTAGTCTTACTTACTTAAACATGGCTACCCTAATGGGGAGCCTCACATGAGTTTGCTCAAAAACCTTGTAGATCGAGGTACGTACCAGAAAGAAACTTTGGATTCTGGTTCCCATGTTCGTACGTGGGACTCTCTTGGATCTCATAATTAACTCCAAAGATAAATGAATATTAACCCTAGCTAGCTAGCTAGTTTCAAAATAAAGCTTGAGAAGTAGTACGTACTGAATATATAATTAACGCTTTGAAGCTAAACAAAATGCAGGGAATTGCCACGCCACACAATCCCAAGAACCCAAAACCGAAAGAAAGATAAAAAAAAAAAGCCCTACAATAACAATCCACTGCATGTACTGCTGTACGTGTTTCATTGCGTACGTAGTAATTCCACATCGCAATCCAAGTTTGCGGCGAGATCAGGTCCGGGCGGCGCGGAAGAAGGCCCGATCGTAACCGGGTGACAAGCAGCTCGAATAGAGCCCTCGTGCCCCTCAACCTCATCTTTTTTATTCAGCCGCCGAAACGAAGCCAGCAGCTGGAATCCCAAATCCGCGGAGCTCGAAATATTCTTCTCATCATCATCATAGTGGAGGCGCAGGTTCAATATGGAGTGGCGGTTTGCATAAAACGGCGGCAAGCGAGCAACGGCGATGATCTGGTGCTGACCACCGAGGACGACGACGGAGGCCTCCAAGGCATCGTAGTGGACTCTGGCGGTCTCCTCTTCGCAAGGGAATTCCACGTCGACGGCAAGCTGCAGGAACCCCCCGGCCCCGCCGCCGGTGATGGATCCGGAAGCGAGCATGACTCCCGGCGTCAAACAGAACTCGGCATGCTCTTTGCGAGTAGTTGCTATTAACAATGCGAAAGAGATCAGCACAATTGCTCCGTAGGAGAAGAATGCAATCAACATGACTACTTTGAACGTTTTGGAGATCGACCCTGCTGCTGGGTCGCCGCCGCCGGCTGGTGTTACTTTCATGGTTGGTCAGGTCTCTTGCGCTTCTGAAATCAGATACAAAACTAGGGCTATGGATTATTGGTTGATATTTAGTGATCTGTTATATATAATATAATATCTCCGGTTATTATGATTTATATTACTACTTTATTTATAATTAGCACAATTAGAGTTTGAGTCAATCACTATTACTCAAAAGGGTCAGATCGGGTGGGGTGCTTCCGTGTTATGGATGGCTATCTATATCTCTTTTTTTCTTCTTCTTTTTTTCTCATTGTTATAATAATAAGGTTATTATCATTTAATTATATTATTACTTTATTAGTAGGATAATCAATCACTATTTACTCTGTTCTACCCAAAAAAAAACCCCACTAGTTATTGATGGGGGAATTCTGTGGTGCCGCAACTGCAGCGGTGTCGTCACTTTTCCTGACCGGTTCAAGGCGAGTTCTGTGGTGCAGTGACCGCACCCGTGCCGGCTAATTTGCAGCCGTTAGATACACAATATTAGATAATGGCCATTGATCTCTGACCAGCAAATAATCAAAATCGGTTAAACCCATTATTTCGGTTGATTAATCTAGTGTTTTCTTTGCCTCACTCGGTGCATTTAATCGCCAGGCGCTAAGCAACCGTTGGGAAGAATTGAACTCTTGGCAAAATTCTCCGGCTAGCAGCAGCAACACGATGGCGAACTGAGGATGGCCTTGCCGCAACGACGCATTGACGCTGATGGCGATGGTGATTTGGACTGACGACAGGAGCCAGGATCTGGATTTTTCCCTTCATAGAAGAGCAAGCTGGATTGCAGCGGCATAGGCGATAGTGGCTATGGCCGGCCGGGGATTACGACGGCGATGGTGGTTTTTAATTGATCATTTTGAACGACGAACGAGAAAGAGCGGGGACTGGGGACTCGGGGAAATGGATAATTTAATTAGTTTATTTTACTTTATTTTTTATCTGATCACATTTGTACCAATTCTTTCTTACCAAACCGGTCAGATTAATTGCCGGCACAGGTACAGTGACGGCACAATAGAATTTCCGCCGGTTCAAAAAGCATAGGTTGAAACAAGCTGTTTTTTTTAATAACGTAGCTAATTAATTGATGAAAGAAATTAAAAAATAAAGGGAAAATAGCATCGTCTCTTCCCTAGGGATGGCAATGGGTCGGGTTTTGCCAAACCCAAATCCAAACCCAAACCCATGGGTTTATCTGTGAAAAAAACCCGGGGTAAAACTCACTGGGTTTGAAAAACTCAAACCCAACCCAACCCGCTGGGTATCCGCGGGTTTATGGGTACCCACGGGTTTTTGTCGTAAAAAATTTACAATAACGAGTTCCTATCAAAATTAAAGTCAAATATCAATCTCTCAATACAAATTATCCATATTTAAAACACAATTCTAGAAAATTCAAGCAAATCACAAATAAACTACATAAATTATTCAACACTAATCTAGAAAACTCAAGAAAATTGAAGCAAATCACAAATTATCCATAAATAACATGATTAATTGAAAGCTTCTTCCTTTCAATTAAGTTTCTTCACTCTCACTAGATAACATCAACTTCATTCTACACAATTAGAAAGAAAAAATTAGACATGTCTCCACATACATAAGTAAGATTAGTTGTTTAGAATATTAAATATACCAAGAAAATTAAATATATGGGTGTAGGCGGGTACCCATGGGTCGGGTTTACCTAAACCCAAACCCAACCCAACCCAACCCGGTGAATAGTGAACTCAAAACCCGTCAACACGGATTTTACCCGCGTTGACCGGGTTGGGTCGGGTGGGTACCCGTGGATTCGGGTTTTGTTGCCATCCCTACTCTTCCCTTCCTCTTTCTCACTCCTTTCTTTGGTTGTTCGAGGAAAGGCGGACTCTGTCGATTCACAGACACAATCCCACCACATAATCGCGTTGCGGCGGTCCTACATCATCAATCTCATTCGCCGCGGTTCGCACAGGTACGTTGCTTTCAGTTTGTACAGGTTGGACATACCATTCCTTGTATTAAACCATTATTTTTAAATTGGGGGTCGTCATGAGGATTCGAAACCATGACCTTTCGGTTCTAGGCTCTGATACCATGTTTAGCGAACTAACCACTTGGCCCCAATAACTCGAGTTGTTGGGAAAGGGATAGTTAAGCCTGTTAACCTCTTATAGATCGACCATGGCAGCTCAGATTCGGAATCTCCGTCAATCGAAAGCACGATTGATCGTCACAGCCCCGCACCCGCTGCCTGGTTATTTTCAAAACCGCCTTGCAACCCACCACCATTCCGTCGGCGATCAAGAGCCGCTGACTGTCCTCTTCGTTTTCCCGAGAAAATGTTCGGCAGGGGAGGATTTTTCCAGGAACATCCAATAAAATATATTTAATTAGAATAAAGTATAAATTTAATCAGGTTCAACCCGGTTCAACCTGCTCTGATTAAGTGGTGGTTATTATCTAAGGTCCACATTAAACCCTGGAAATCCAACGGCTAAAATGTTGGCGGCACTAGTGTGGCACCGACACTATAGAATCCGCCGTTATTGATGTTTTGCTGTTATTTTTATTTTTAAACAGAGAGAGTGTGAAGGGGTAACAACTGTGATCAGTCTTCAGAAAAAAAAAAATCTCACCCCTGTTCTCTCAATCGTGGGGAGTGGGATCGGACAGTTCGCTTCCCTGCGACTCGCCGTAACGGGCCTCTCCGCCTTAGTGCGGCACCGGAAACGGCCTCCCCTGATGGGGCTTTTAAAGGCCTCAGCCTGGGGTCTTCGAAGGATACCGATTTTGTGTTGCTGCGATCCATTCTTTCGCTCAGTAGTGGAGGCTTTCTTGCTCCGACGAATCAATTTCTCATCCATGGCCGCTGTAAACAGGGTTGTTTTTGGTGATGAAGATGTTGTTGCTGGTGCGCTTCAGAGTGAGTTATCTCTCCTGGGTCGGGTCATCGGCGATTCGCCCTCGCTTGCAAGCCTTCAACACACATTGGGTCGGCTCTGGCGATGTCACGGGGCGATGTCGATCATCCCAATGAGCGATGGAGTGCTGCAATTCACCTTCCCCTCTATTGGGGACCGAGATCGAATCCGCAAGTTGTCTCCTTGGTTTCTCCCCAAGTTCCTGGTTAACCTAGCGCCTTGGGAGGAAGTTACATCAGACGTTTCAGATCAGTTGTGGCGTGTCCCGCTAGGGCTTCATTTCTGGGACGTTCCCATTGATTGCTGCACCAAGAAGATGGCTATCCTCCTCGGTCAGACCTTGGGGAGAACCTCCTCCCCCTCGGTTCATCGCATTCCAGAGACGGGGGAGGTTTATCTCCGTGCTCAAGTTGGGATTGATGGTCGCCTCCCTCTGCCGCTCTCTGTGCCTGCTTTCCACGAGAAGGCTGTGCGTGGTGAGTTCGAAGCTACGGTGAAATACGAGAAGCTTCCACAATTCTGCTTCCTTTGTGGTATTGTAGGCCACACCGGTCAGACGTGTCCTCGGCGGGAGGCCCTTGCTGCTGCCGATCCTGTATATGGGAGGCACATTTTGGTCCAGATTAAAGGCCCCAAGGTCAATGAGAAGACCCTCCTTCGCAAGCAGATGTTCACCTGGGTTCGCAAGGAGGAGAGCGGCCTTTCAGGTCAGCAGCAACCCCTCCTGCTGGGACCTAGGTAGAATCCTCTGACCAGGCAGAGGAATTGGGATCAAGTGCAGGATTCCCAGACAGTTTCCCCAGTCGCCAAAAGACCCCGACAGGCAGACATGTCAATTGATACTAATGTAGATCCTGGAGAAATGGTGGTGGTTTCCAGCCAGAACTGGGCCCAATCGCCCAAATGAGTATATTGGTCTGGAATTGTAGGGGCCTGGGCTCTACCCTTACAGTTCCCTCGTTGTTTGGAGCCGTTCGTCGTTTCTCTCCGGCAGTCCTCTTCCTTAGTGAAACCAAGAGAGATGACAACTTTGTAAATAGCAAGCTTATGCGTCTAGGTTTCCCTTTCGTGCATTGTGTCTCTGCTATTGGGCGGTCGGGTGGATTAGCAGTAGCTTGTTCCCCCAATGTGATATGTCGTGTCGTAGGAGAGTCTTCCTCTTTTATATATGTGGAATGTCAGCATGTAGTTTGGAGTACTATGTCATTTGTTTTTGTTCACCTGCACTATGATGTACAACTTAGGCTTGAGCAATTTAATGAAATTCTGGATTTGGTTTTGTCGTGTGCTACCCCCATTGTTGTTATAGGAGACTTTAACTGCATCCATTTTGCCTAAGAGAAACAGGGAGGGCGTCTTCCTTCATTTTCTGCAATGGAACAGTTCGGGACTTTTCTTTATTCCACAGGTCTTGTAGACTTAGGTTTTAAGGGTTCTCCCTTTACTTGGTCGAATCGGCAGGGTCTGAGTACACATATCATGGAAAGACTTGATCGTGGTCTTGCTAATGAGAAATTGCTTAACGTTTGGCCCTCATTGCAGGTGAGTCATCTAACCGACCTCGGCTCGGATCATCCAATGTTGCTGCTCCAATTTGTTCCGGGCGCTGGGAAGGGGAAGCCCCGGTTCCATTTTGATCGCCGATGGTGCACGAATGACGAGGCCAGGGAGATTGCTGTCCAAGAATGGCAAACAATCTATGCAGGCACACTGCAGTTCCAGCTTTTCTCGGCACTCAAAGCTGCTTGTCACCAGTACGTTGATTGGGCGCGGAAGGGAACCACCAATTCGGCTCGGCAAATTCGGGAGATCAAGGCTGCTATTGAAGCTGAAAGGGAACAAGAAGTGATTGATTGGGAGACTATCAAAAGCATGTAAGTCCAGCTCTCCGAGGCTTACCGGCAAGAGGAAGTGTACTGGCGTCAGAAATCTCGGGTAGATTGACTTCAAAAAGCAGAGTCTAACACTAGTTTCTATCATGCCAAAGTCCGCCAAAATAGAAGGCAGAACAGGATTGAGGTGATTAGAGATGAGAATGGTGGTGTCCATTTTGATGAAGGTGCCAAAGGGTCAGTGGCTGTAGCCTTCTATCAGCAACTCTTTTTGTCGAATGGGAACCCCCCTCACTTCCTTATCAATGCTCTCGGGCTTCCACGGAAGGTAACAGATGCACAAAACCTTCTCCTCTCCTCTCAAGTTTCAGCCGAAGAGGTCAGAAAGGCGATCTTCAACTTAGGGGCGAATCAAGCGCCGGGCTCAGACGGGTATACAACTGCCTTTTTCCAGTCCTTTTGGGATGTTATTGGGCATTCGGTAGTGGCTGCACCTCTATCGTTCTTCAGATCTGGTCGTTTGCTGCATAACTTCAACCATACTCTCCTCACTTTGATTCCTAAGGTGCCTAATGCGGAATTCATGAAGCAGATGCGACCTATTGGATTGTGTCAGGTGTTCTATAAGGCAATTGCCAAGGTTTTGGCAGCCCGGTTGAATCAAGTTCTGCCAAGTATAATTAGTGAGGCTCAGAATGGGTTTGTTAAAGGCAGGGACATCTCGGATAATATCCTCATAGCTCAGGAGGTGATGCAGTTTCTCAAGACAAAATCACAGAGACGGGATAAATGGATGGCTGTGAAACTTGATATGGAGAAAGCATATGATCGAGTTGAATGGGGGTTCTTGTTTGCATTAATGGAAGCTCTGGGTTTTGATGCGCAGTGGATTAAGTGGATGAAAGCGTGTGTGACCTCAGTCTCGTTTTCTCTGATTTTGAATGGTACAGAACATGGCTCTTTTCGTCCTCAACGTGGCATTCGGCAAGGAGATCCTTTGTCGCCCCTGTTGTTTGCCATCTACACCGAAGCTTTCTCAGCTATGATTGATGGTGCTTTGTCGGCGAGGCAGCTCCATGGGTTGAAAGTTCACCGCTATGCTCCCACCGTCTCTCACTTACTTTTCGTTGATGATCCGTACCTCTTCTTGCGGGCTTCTTCATCAGAGTTCTCCTCACTCCTTAATATCCTCCAGCTTTATGAACTTGCAAGTGGAGCTAAGGTGAATCTCTCCAAGTCTTCTCTGTATTTTAGCTCCAATGTCACTGATCAGGAGGCTTCTTCGTTGGCTGGCCAGTTGGGGATCTCTTCTGTAGGTCCGCTTGACAAGTACCTCGGCCTACCCACTCAAGTCCAAAGATCCAAGGTGAAAACTTTTCAGTATGTGGAGGATGCCCTTGCAGGTCGAATTCGAAGCTGGAAGTCCAAGGCCTTGTCGCTAGCAGCTAAAGAAGTGATGATTAAGGCAGTGGGTTCAGCTACACCAGTGTATACGATGTTATCTTTCAGGCTGTCCTCCACAAGCTGTCACAGATTGAATAGTCAGGTGTCTCATTTTTGGTGGGCGGGGCAAGACAAAGAGAAGGGGATCCCTTGGATTTCTTGGCCGGCGGCCTGTGCGAGTAAATTTGAAGGAGGACTTGGCTTCAAAGACTTTGATCTGTTTGACGTCGCTATGCTTGCCAAACAAGCGTGGAAATTGGTTCATGATCCCACATCCACCTTGGCTCGTATATATAAAGCAAGGTATCATCACAATACGTCCTTTCTTAAAGCATCAACAGGTAATCGCCCCTCCTGGGCGTGGCAAGGGGTTCTTGAAGGGCGGAAACTTCTGGCTAAGGGTCTTCGATGGCAAGTTGGGTGCGGGACGGCCATTGACATTCTTCAAGATCCCTGGCTATCGTCATTTCCTCAGTCCTCCCCGAAGCTGCTGGATGGCGTTAACCTTCCAAATCCTTTTGTGGCGTCACTGATACACCCGATGTCACGAACTTGGAATCTTGAGCTTCTCCGCAAACTCTTCCATGGGGACAGCGTAAAGTGGATCCTTACCATACCGTTGTCGTCTTCTCCTCTTCCGGACCGATTAATCTGGCACTATTCTCCAATTGGGATCTACTCTGTTAAATCAGGGTATCAGGTCTTGTCGGCGGCGAGTTCGGCTTCCTTCGCGGCCGTCTCTCCTCACTTAGATACCAAATTTTGGAAGCTCCTGTGGAATCTCCCCATCCCTCCAAAGCTTAAATTCTTTTTATGAAGGCTTGTACGCGGGTTTCTCCCGCTGCGAGCTGTGTTAAAACAGAAATCTTTATGTGATGATGATTCTTGTCCTGTATGTTTGGAGGCGGCTGAGTCTATTTCCCACTGCTTTTTCAATTGCAGGGTAGCATGTGGCGTCTGGGATATTGCTGGGCAGGAACGGGTTCGGCAGGCGGTTCATCTCCTTTCCCCAGATGCTGCTTGGTGGCTCATCTTCTTTGATTTACAGCTATCCAAAGTGCAGATTGTTGAACTTGTATTCCTCTCTTGGCGGGTGTGGAAGGGCAGGTGCTGGACCACCTATGACCATCTGCAATACTTGCCCACATCACTCCACCGACAGTTCACTTCTCAGGTCAGTGAGTGGAGAGAGGCAACGAGGAGTTCTAGTAACAATTCACCTGCAAGCCGACAGCCAGGCAGACAGCCTCCTCCGGTCTCCAGCCCTCCCAGGGGTATCTTGGTAAGATTTGACGAAGCCCTCCGTAAAGAAGTTGGCGGTAGCACAGGGTTCGTGGCCTTTGCTGAAGATTCGTCACTTGTCTGTGCATATGGTAAGTGTTATACAGGTTTGTCTGACCCTTTTCTCTCAGAAATACTGGCCCTTCGCGACGCAATGTTATGGTGCTTGAATCATGGTTTCAATAACGTTTGTTTCTGTGGTGATTCACAACTCGTGATCCGGAGAGCTCGGGAGAATGACATTTATCATGAGTCGGGTGGGGCGATCTTGGAAGAAGTCCGGATGCTAAAGTCAAGCTTTCAGTACATTCAATTTGTGTTTGCTTCTTGTAGGACTAACATGGCTGCCCATTTAGTGGCGAAAATGGCTCTTGCATCGGTAGCTCAACAATCGGTTGACTACCGCTATTTACTTTTCCCCTCTTGTAATCATCTGTCTATCTACCGTCTATCTATGGCAAAAAAAAAAAAAAACAGAGAGAGTGTGAAAATGATTTGATGTGGTTAGAGCCTTAGAGGACACATGCAGATCACCTCCCTCCCTTCAACACTTTGTTCACTGGTTGCCTTATGCTTAAGCCTCAGCTACGTACATATATTTCAATCATTGTTAAAAAATAAAAATAATCTCCAAACTTTGTTACAAGTGGTGAAGATTTGCTCATATTTTCCCTCTCCTCATACAAAAAATTACATATCAATGGAAAGGAAGGTTGTTGATGTGTTTCGTTGTATTGGCCTTCGGATTTGTGATGTGGTTACATTCTCCTAGGAGCTTGATTGTGATAATGAGGTGAAATTTTAAAAGATTAAATTTTTTTTTTATCTTCAAAAATTTTTTAACGGTCAACTCTCATAATTGACTGCCACGTCAGTTAAAGTTAACTGAGACTAATGGAGGAGAGTGACCAAACTTGAACTGTTGAACTAATTTGATTGAATATGAATGTAATAAACTAATTTTAGTGGCAAACGTGAACTCTTTAAGTAATTCTAGTGACCAAACTTGCAATTTATCTGTGTTTCTAGTGAGGTGGTGCTACTGCTATAGACCACGAATTAACACGAGCTTGGAGTATAGTACTATTCCCTATAACCTCTAATCAATAAACTCCAAGTCCCAACATTAATTTAATCAAAATAATAATAAATAATTCTTATTTGTCGAATACATCCAACAAGCAGATCACTAGAAGTATATTATACACAAGAATTACACTAGCATTTGCCATATATTAGCGGTATAATTGTCAACTGTTAGTTTTCAATTTTCATTAATTAATCTTAGATTTCGGATCTAGAGAGTTAGAATATAACGTTTAGCCATTAGATATTAAAGTTTAGTGATTAGGGTTTAGATGTGGGTATATGTCAAATTCATGAAGAGTATGCTAGCCTAAACCTCTATATATATAAGAACGTTATACTTTGGGTGCAAAAATTAAAAAATATGAAGAAACATATAAAATGGAATTACATACTAAAATAAGTTAAAAGATATGCATGCAGACGCAGTGCAATCTTTTTATTTTGGTAGAAGTGCAACCTTTTTAAGTATGAAAGATTGAGGGCAAAATATTGGAGCTGAGAGCAGTCATGTGACGGACGAGAGAGAAGGTAAATTATGTCGTCAGAGGAAGACAGTTCCGTTAGCCACTAAATACAAAAAGTTCAAAAAAAATTGAAAAAGAAAAGGCAACGAATGGGGTGCGTCCACGTAGGAAGGGTGCAGGGTGCTCCTAGTTTGCAGCAAAAAAGATAAGGTCCTCCCAACGGCTAGGATTAACGCCACGTGCAAGGTGTTAGCAACATTGGACGTGTGATGATTGTTGTTATAGTTAGTAGGCTTTTCTTTTGTACAGTTGTACAACAACCCATTTATTGTCCATAGATTGTGATTGGACCATGTAACACGTAGCCCATGCAGAGTGAGGAGGGCATACGTGAGTCTCCTAAGGTTAGCAAGAAGAAGTCAAAGGCACATTGTTATTGTCCCGTCAAGGAAATGAAAAACTGAAAAATTAGGTGAGTTTGATTTAAACGCTTCTCCGGATTCTTATGGTTTTCCCTAGCTTTAAATATCTGAAGGGAGGTTGTGATTCATGGGAACTGCAATTTAGGTGTTGGAAATGGTTGGGATGGTGGAAAGAGATTCGAGAATATGATATAGCGGTAGGGTTGATCTTGAATTGGGAAGGCTATGGAACTTGGGATGGCAATGGGTCGGGTTGGGGCGGGTTTTGTCAAACCCAAACCCATGGGTTTATCAGCCAGAAAAGGTGGAGGGTGCTCCTAGTTTGCAGCAAAACAGATAAGGTCCTCCCACCTATTGTTGGGAGGAGGATCAACGCCACGTGCTAGGGGTTAGCAGCATTGGACGTGTGATGATTGTTGCTGTAGTTAGTAAGCTTTTCTTTCGTTGTACAGCAGCCCATTTATTGTACATAGATGGTGATTGGTCCATGTAACACGTAGCCCATGTAGAGCGAGGAGGGCATACGTGAGTCTCCTAGCTAGGGTTAGCAAGCTTGGCTGATATAGTGTGTGAGGAGAGTACTTTGGCTGTAACACACACACGAACATACTTCCAGTAAACTAGTTCTGAAGTTTCGAAGGGTTCAAACCCTTACGTGGATTAGTCCTGGGTTTCCAATGATACCACGTAAATATGGTGTCTGTTTACTTTCCTTCGTTTAGTCTGATTTGTCTTACATGGTATCAGAGCCTGCCATGGAATCTGATAAACTTGGCATTCGTTTTAATTCCACAAACTATGCTTTGTGGGTATTTCAAATCTATGTCTTTGTCGAGGGACGCGACTTTCTAGAAGTCCTTGATGGCATTGTGCGACCGCCAGCTACAACCGCGACTGCTCAAGAGATAGCAACATGGAATTAGAACGATGCCAGAGTCCGATCCTAGCTTCTTGGATGTGTAGAGTCGTCGGCCTGTCTCAGCCTTCGACTGTTTCCCATGGCGAACAGAATGTGGAGGCATCTAGCTTCTTTGTACTTGACAACCAGTATTGCCCATCAATTTGAAGTTCAAGAGTCCTTAGCTCGTCTGGAGCTGGGTGACCGATCTATTACTGAGTATTTCAACCTTGCTCAGGAGATGTGGACGAAACAAAATTTGTTGTCTGCCATTTTGCGTTCCACTCCTCCCACTGAAGATGTTCTCAAGGAGAGAGTCCAGACTTGTGTTCTCCCGTTACTGATGCGATTACGTCCTGAGTTCGAAGCTGTTCATTCTGTGTTGTTGAATAAGGCTAAGCTGAGCTTTGAAGGCATTTTGGGATAGCTTGTTCGAGAAGAAATAAGGCTTCGTACTCAAGCCCAACTCGACCTCCGGCCAGGTGAAGGGGAGGCGGTCATTGTGGCTCCAGCTTCGAACTCTTCTTCCTATGTTGTTAGTCGACCCGAATTTCAGCAAATTATCCCTCCCACTGAGATCATTTGCCATCATTGTTGGGAGAAATATCACTACCAACAACATTGCTGCAAATGCAATTATTTTGTTTATTGCAAACGCCCGGGTCACATAATCCTTGACTGTCGATTCCGTCAGCGTAATGAAGCTCACGCAGGTGGACAGGGAGAGGTCTTCAGTCTTCACGTCCAGCTTAGGCAGAACGTGGGGTGAGAGGTCTTCACGTCCAGCTTTTGCTACCACTCCAGCGGAGGCCAGCAGCAACTCTTGGATGTCTTTGGTAGCTGTGGAACAACTAGTTAATGCGGCATTACAAAAATCTCTTCCCAACGCCATCAATGTTGCCTTTGCCACCCTTCATATTTCTGGTAAACGTTCTCCCTGGTTATTAGATTCAGCATGTTTTAACCATATGACGCATGATGTGAGTCATCTTAAGAATGCCACTTCGGTTAAAAATATGGCATTGAAAGTTGCAAATGGTGAACAATTGAGGGTTGAGAGAATTGGGTCTATGTCGAGTGGTCGTCTAGCTTTACCGGACACTCTTCATGTTCCTGATCTTGTGCCTAATTTAGTGTCTGTGGGCCAGCTTACTGAGCAAGGGTGTTCTGTTTTGTTCGCACCCTCTGGATGTTTTGTACATGATCTGAAGACGGGGAGGCAGATCAGAAGGGGGAGTAAACTTGGAAGGATTTTTCATATGGAAGAACTGCACCATCATCCTTCGTCATTGGTCATCAGTAGTCATAGTTCACCTGTCAGTAGTCCGAGTCAGTCTTTGTCATATGCTGGTCATGGTACCTCTTTGTTTCTCACCTTTCCGGGTCAGTCAGAAAATAATTGGAGTCTTTGGCACTCTCGTGTGGGTCACCCTCCTTCAGAACGTCTTGTAACGATGTTTCAGCAGTCTTTGCTTGGTTAAAACAATGTTGGGATTTCTGCCAAACATTTATGTCCCAGTTGTGTTGAGGCCAAATCAACTAGTTCTTCTTTTCCCTCGAGCATCACGATCATTACTAAGCCTTTTCCTATTATCCATACTGATCATTGGGGGTCCTTCGCCCACTATTTCTCATCATGGATATAAATATTGTGCTCTTTTCATTGATCATGCTACTTGTTTTACTTGGGTTTATTTCCTTCGTCTTAAATCTGATCTTCGTGTTGTGGCAATTGAGTTTTTAAAAATGATTCAAACTCAATTTGATCGTACTGTCAAGATCATTCGTCCTGACCCAGGTGGCGAGTTTAGCTCCATTCCTCTCCATGAGGTATATCGGTCTATGGAAATTTTAAGTAAAAAATCGTGTCCCGGTGTATCTCAGCAAAATGGATTAGTTGAGCGTAAAAACCGTCATGTGGTGAAGTTAACTCGTGGTCTTCTTCTCGCCTCCCATGTCCCTAGCTGCTTTTGACCCACCTTTCCAATCCTAACCAACCTTTTCGAAATATCCGAGAATATCCAATAATTCAAGAAATTATTCAAGAAATGAGTTCTCACAAATAAATTATGAACAAGTCATTGATTAGCTATTAACCAATTCGTTCATCTACTGCTAGTTGAGGTGGATTGCTAGTCATACTATCAAACCAACTTCTAACTCACGAGTTGAGCTCAACAAGCCAACAAAACGAGCTGCCACACAAACTTTGCAAGCAGTGGCGGAGCCAGAAAATTGGCCAAGGGGGTGTCTTTATCATGTCATAAAAAATCATCTGTACAGTAGAAAAGTCAAGTTTAAATGAAAAAAGTCAACAACGCAATACTCTAAATTCATACAGTTACATTAAAATAGTTTCACGTACATAGGTTACAACGTCAAACAAATAAGTTCAGTACATACAAGTCAAGACTTCCATTCATCAAGTATTACAAATTAGAACACAGAAGTAGCTTGGAATTGATTTTGTGAAACAAACAAGTGAACTTCAATTGGTGCTTCATCACTTTCGGTTTTGTTTAAACAAAAGGCAAGAAATTTCTCTATTGTAGAGCTACAAAAGAAATGAGCGAGTTTAAACAAAAGACAACAATTTATTACTATAAATAAAGACGAAAGTGCATTGCATAACAAAACTTACTAGGTTGAGATGGTAAGAAATTCTTCTTGCAACTGAATGATCACTAGTTCAGATTTGTATATACCCCTACTCGGAAAAAAAAATTTCTCCAAACTCAAGGCACCCCTCCTCTCCAAGTGGCTCCGCCATTGTTTGCAAGCCAAACAAGACTTAACTCAAATTAAACTCCTTAACTCAGACTGGTTTGCTGCCCTATCTTTTATTACATTTTTATTTTTGTAATGGACTTGGCTTTTAAACAAACAACTAAATAAGAGTGTTGAAATGGGAATTGTGGACTTGACGTAATAAGCCCAATCAGAGGATTAATTCCCTAAATACACATAAAACTAAAGCAAATTCCTAAACTACCACACTTTTAAAAAAATTTCCCAAAATACCTAAGTTTGGAGTGGTTCGAGTTTGAGAAACTCGAACTACTAACCGGTTCGAGTGTAGGAGACTCGATCTACTCGTAGATCGATGATATAAGCCTCGAACCATGTGGGGTTGAAGTGGTTCGAGTTCAGTGAACTCGAACCACTCCTTTGAAATTTCCAACCACCTTAACTTTGTGCTCGGTTATCCGATTGTAGCAAACTTTTTTTTTCATTTCGCATAACTTTTCGAGGACTACAACTTTTAGAATAGAAATATTTTCAGAATATATGTGAAAATGTGAAAATTAAAGTTAAAGTTACTCCCAAAACCCCTTATATTAAAAACTATTCCTATTTTGAAAATTTATTCCTAGTAAATGTTGTAGTACTCAAAAAGTTATGCAAAATAAAAAAAAACTTTGCGACGTTTGGATTGCGGAGCACAAAGTTATGATCCTCTAAAAGTTTGGTAAAATCAAAAAATTGCTCGTTTAGGGGTTACAAATGACATTTTCTCGGAGCGAAGGCACACAAAATTTTTTTATATATAGGAAATTTCTGCAAAAGAGCAATAGTTTTCCAAACGAGAAATTTTTGGATGGCTATCTTCCTTGTAAACGTCATTTGCTACCCATAAACGAGCAAATTTTCGAATTTGTCAAACTTTGTAGGATCATAACTTTGTGCTCCGCAATCCAAACGTCGCAAAGTTTTTTTTTTATTTTGCATAACTTTTTGAGTACTACAACATTTACTAGGAATAAATTTTCAAAATAGGAATAGTTTTTAATATAAGGGGTTTTGGGAGTAACTTTAACTTTAATTTTCACATTTTCACATATATTCTGAAAATATTTCTATTATAAAAGTTGTAGTCCTCGAAAAGTTATGCGAAATGAAAAAAAAGTTTGCTACAATCGGATAACCGAGCACAAAGTTAAAGTGGTTGGAAATTTCAAAGGAGTGGTTCGAGTTCACTGAACTCGAACCACTTCAACCCCACATGGTTCGAGGCTTATATCATTGATCTATGAGTAGTGAACTCGAACCACTTCAACCCCACATGGTTCGAGGCTTATATCATCGATCTATGAGTAGATCGAGTCTCCTACACTCGAACCGGTTAGTAGTTTGAGTTTCTCAAACTCGAACCACTCCAAACTTAGGTATTTTGGGAAATTTTTTTAAAAGTGTGGTAGTTTAGGAATTTACTTTAGTTTTATGTGTATTTAGGGTCTCTTTGAAGACCTTTCTGCCAAATGCTTCGGTCTCTTTGAAAGTGGAACGAACAGATCGAGGAACAACTCTGTTTCTTCAACTAAGGCAGAGCATTACACAACCAACCCTGCTCGCACAATTGTAAAAGTGCAGTAAGTAAAACCCAAAAATAAAAGAGCAAAAAATACTACATGATCGCTGCTTTCCCTCCCTAGTTCAAGGAACACGTAAGACAAACTAAGCAAAGCACTTTCTACAACTTGGTAGCAAAATTGTCCAATCCAACCGCAACAACTAATTCCACAACGACCAATCCTGGTGAGAATCGGAACTCTCCCCTAGATCCACTGATAGTCATGACTCTGCATTCCGTAGCTCGGCGGCGGAGGCAGCAGCAGCCCTTCCGGCATCTGCAGCACTGCTATTAGTCCACGTAATTGCTCCCATTGCCATAACTACCATCATAATTACAATTATAATCATAATTACAATTATAATCATAATTGTAATTTCCGCCACTACTACTACCACCGAACAATCATTTTCGCCAGTCACTTCACTCAAAACAATAGTACCCTCTGCCTCCGCGGGGCGGAACATCGCCGCTGCATCGGCGGAAGCTTTCCTGACTTACTTGGAGTCTGTGGAAGCAGGGACGGGGAGCCGCCAGGCAGAGTCGGCGAAATTGAGACAGCCAGACTTCCCGCGCAAACCCAGTTGTCGCCGTTCCTCTGCCTCACGCCCCTGTACACCGGGTGTCGGTTCTCGTTGAACACCTTCCTCCCCACCCTCTACTTCAGCACCTCCGCCGCCAGCTGGTACTGATCACTATCCTCATACCTCTCGGAGAAGTCAGGAAAGGAGGGATTTCTTCTTCCTCCTCGCCAGAGGCAGTAGGCAGAAACAGGGGAGAGAGCCACTTCCCCACTTCTTCTTCATCTTCTTCTTCTCCCCTAAACTTCCCTTTCCTATCCTAAAAATACACAGGAACACATATAAGAGAAAAGAATTGGAAAGTTCTCTTCCATCTCTTCTTCTTAAACCCATACAAACACGACAACATTATTCAAAACCAAGCACAAAGACTGAATAGGAGGAGTAGAAAAGCGACAAACACTCCCTGAGAAGGAATCATCCAACAAACCAGGGCAAAAGGTTGGTATTATTCATCCCAATTATCGTTATCATCCAAATCATCATTTCTGCTTCTACCTTTCTCTAACTATTTGGTTTTACAAAGAAACCCAAACCACCCCAATTCAGTCTCCCAAAACCAATACCATCAACAATACAGATATGTCAAATCAAAACCACAACCTACAAATTTACATATTTGGATCCACCATAGACACCACACACCAATTTCATCAGAAACGCCAGAAAATTGCAAGAAAAAACCACCAAATATACCTCATCACTCAGGTTTATAAGTTCATGTCCATTATTTCACCCATAAACTTCCCAAACCAAATATATCATGAACAACAAAATTCCATATTCAAGCCCACCATGAACACCAGCCAATTTCCAGATTTAAACCCACCGTAAACACCCACAATTCAGTTTCAAAACCATCCAAACCAAAATCCCAGATTTCCAAAAAAAAAAAATATATATATATATACATGTATTCATTCCTAAAGATCATATTAGTACTAAACAATCATGAACCTAACCAGAATCGACATCATAGCAAAGCAATCCCTACATAACACAGACAAATATCTATTTCTGAGGTTTAAAACCCCCTAAATCAGTCAAAAATATAATTTGGGGAATATCACCTAAGTTTCCCCCCGTAACCTGTACCCAGCAAAGCAAGAAAAACCAAGAATCTAGACGAAAAAAGTAGTCGTCAAATCTCACCAATAATGGTCGTATGCCATCTCCGCCGCATTGTCATGTCCCCCACGTCGCCGGCAGAACCCATCTCCTTCCGTTTCTTTTCCCTCGATGGGACCCAGAAAATGCGACCCTCTTCTCCCTTTCTTTCCCGCGGCCTCTCTCCCTCATCCGTGATCAAACCCCCATAAAATAACTAGGTCAGAATCCCAGTAGAAATCAGAAATAAAACCGATTAACGACATGCCAAAAAAAAAAAAGATCTTACCTCACCATCGTCGTCCTCATTATCACCGCCGGCGACTGCTTCCATCCTCACTGCCGGCGAGTCTCATTCTTCCTCCCTCTCACCTCCATCAAAACCCATAAAGCAAAACAAAAACAAAAACAATCAGAACCACAAAGAACCCCAAAAAGTCGGACATGCAACCGAAATGAAAATCTTACCTTCGTCGATCTCACCGCCGGCAACCATCTGGTCAATCGTCGCCGTCCATCTGCGTTTAGAAAGATAGGAGAAGAGAAATAGTAGAGGGAGAGATAAGAATCGATAGAGAGGAGGAAGTCGATTTTCTTCGTGGGTTTGTCGTTCATTAGGAATACGAGGTAGGAGAAATAGAAGAAAGTTCGAAGGAAGAACGACCGGCGGCCAACCCTCCACCGTCGCCCTTATCGTCGAACGGTTTCCGACAAGAGAAAGAGAGAACGGGTCTGAGCGGCGCTTTAGTTGAATGATTTAGGGTTTCGTGATTTTAGCCTATAGTCCCTGCCACCGTCCCTCCAAACGACGCCATTTTAAAATAACGAAAAATAAACACTAGGTCTGGAGATTCGAACCGCAGATCTAAGAGTCACCACAAATTCACAATAAACACTTCAGACAATTAGGCTAGTCGCCTGCCATCTGCTCATATTTCAATCTCTATCATCTTTATATCAAATTACCTTAATACGTAATTTTTTTTTTTGTCATAGATAGATCGTAATAGATAGGGTATTATAGTGCGGTGAAAAATGAAAGGGCGGCAATCAACCAAAAGGGTTGCTAGTTGCTACTGATGCAAGGGTCGTTTGTGCCACGCGATGGGCACCCATGTTAGTACTATTAAGAGTAAAAACAAAAGAAACAAATGCAAAAGAGGTATTCAACATTTGCATTTCTTCAAGCATTGCTCCACCTCGATCATGATCGGCATCATTCTCCATTGCTCATCGTATGACCAATTAGGATTCACCCCAAAACATACAGCAGAGTAGCCACGATTAAGGTTCCATAACATTTTTTGCTGACCATTAAAAATAAGAAAATAAATAAAGAAATAAAAGATTTGGGAATTGAAAACGTGCCTGCCAAGGGTTGTAACTGCACCAAAAAGAAACTGCAACGCAGTAACAAAGCCGGAAAGACTCGCCGTCCACCGGTGGGAGTCGCCGTAGGAGCCCGGACCGCCACTCGTTTAAAACCCCTACAAAAGATAAGATCCACGGGAAGGATTTCAAGGATACAGTCAAATCCAGGATTGACGCACGATGGCGTGGCGCAGCAATCTGCTGGATCACACAACGGCGAGCAAGAGGGAGAAACATATCTAGAGGGTAGCCAGTAGGGGTGGCTATACGGTCCGGTCCGGTTAAATTGGACCAAATTGATTCGGTCCCAGTCCGGTCTTTTCGGGAATATAAGGACCAAAGATTGAATTGGATACAGTCCGGTCTTGACCCTGTCCGGTCCCAATTTTATCTTGATTTTAGGTGTTGGGGGTCTCTTATCTGGTCTTTATCCGGTTTTTTACCTCAAATCTAAGCCCGAATATGAGATTGCATTGTTTGCTATCCGGTCCCAGTCCGGTCCCGGTCCGGGTTATACGATCCAGTTTTGGGTAAAACCAAATAGTTCGGGACCAAATAGCCAGCCCTAGTAGCCAGGGCAGGTTGCTTTCCCGCTGCTTCCTTTCCCTCTCATGCATGATCAAAACCCAAAGTAACCGCCACAGCCCCAGAATGGTAACCGGCGGTGCTTTTGAAGGTTGCCTCCATAACCGGTAGATTCACCCGCCACATCTCATTCCTCTGTGGCATTCTGTACTATATAGGCCTTCGTCTTCCGCGAGTTCTTCTTTCCCTCAGTCTATTCTCTGAAAGCGCGCCAAACCAGAAGGCCGTAAGCCAAGTCGGGAGATCAGGCCATTCTTCCAGTCGGAAACTGCAAATCGGAAAAGATTGGATCCCCAGAATCTTCGAATTCTCACGGGAGGAACGACGAGCAAAACAAATCTTCTCTCTTCGTCGAATCGGTGATTTCAGGGGAGGGCTTTTTTCAGGGAAAAAATCCCACTGTACACACGTTCTTAAAAAAAATTCCCAAAATACATGAGTTATAAAAAAATTCCCCAAAGTACACATGTTTGAGCATCACCGTTTTAGACAAAAGCGGTGAAGGTCATCACCGCGTTTGACGAACACGGTGAATACTTCACCGTTTTAAAGTAAAACGGTGATGCCTTCACCGTCTTAGTCTAAAACGGTGAATGCATCACCGCTTTAAACTGAAACGGTGAAGAAATCACCGTTTTAATCAAAAACGGTGAGGACTTCACCGTTTTTGTAGGCCACGGTGAAGTCGGTGACGTGGACAGACACGGGGTATTCACCGCGTTAGACAAACACGGTGAATACCCCGTGTTTGTTTGCGTCAGCGATCCGCGCCAGTGTGCTTTCACCGTGGCCGTTAGATGCGGTGAGGCGCGGATCGTGGTTTTCTTCCCACGATCTGACGCCTCACAGCACGCCACGTCACCTTTGCAGTAACCGTGTTTGGTTAATGCGAGGAGTTCACCGCGTTCCTCAAACGAGGTGAATGCTCCCCTAATAACTGCGCATCAGCTCCTCCCCCCTTCCCCCAACTATAAATACCCCCTTCCCCTTTCACTTTCAACTCACCCCACAAACATTTCACTTCTTTCTCCCTCAATTTATCCGCTCTAGTCTCGTTCTAAGTATGCTCTGTGGTTGCGGCTAAGTCCGATCTTCCACATCAGAAAGAATTACAAGAGTTTGACCCTAAAGCCCCCGTCCCGCTAAGTTCCCTTCCCTTACAAACCTAAACCCGTCGAACCTCTGTCCGGCTTCCGCCAATAATGGACGAAGAGGCTCTTCGTGTAGGTTTTTGGTTTGTGATTTTTTTTAATCGAAACAATTTGATTTTTTTTATCAAAACAATCTCTGATTTCATTACTTTTTTATAGATGGGTGCCGAGATATACGATCCTCGATTGTATATCCATTATGGCCCAAGGGATGCGAGTCTCTTAACCGATCAAGAAGCTCATCGCTCCCGTGCCATTTGGGATAACAATCCGGTAATTTGATGAACTGACTTGCTTTATTTTATTATTTTCTAATGTTTTATTTTGCTTTATTTAATCTAATAAATTGATGTTTTTCCTATTTTTTTTAGGAATCTCTTGTTCCCGTGGTTCATAAAGGGACCAATAACTTGCCCGCTTGGCATCCAAGGTTGGAGCCCTATATAGCGAGGACCGGTTTGGGAATGTTGCGCCATTTCTTGCGGATCGAGATCGACAACGATCTGCTTACGGCAATGGCGGAACGATGGCGTCCCGAAACCCATAAATAACCACCGCCTTGGTAGTTGCTCGAACTACCACCCCATTCGTACCCTCCTGCAAAACCATCATCATAAGAATACTGGTGAGAATGAGATTCACCGACCGCCTCGGTCTCAACATACACCTCTGCAAGCCGGACTTGGTTATCGCTTAGGAACTGTAACATCATCATAACCGCGTCATCATCGTTTATGACAACTTCTTGGAACACGACCCCGCCAGCACTCATGTCTGGATACCGGTAAGTAATTTTGCCAAGTCTCGTCTGTCCGCTCGTACAAACCCTTTCTGCACAAAGATCACAGAGTTCTTGAAAATTGAATCGGGAATCAATTTTCAGCATAATGGATTCGCCGTCCTCATAATCAATGCCTATGTCAGAGTTTGTCACTCTTCCATTCCACCGAATAGTAAGATGAAACTTCTTGAATTTACCCATATCTACAATTTACAATAAGTATCTATTAGCTTAAAGACAGTAAAATTAACCAAAATCATATTGTACAACTAATATTAAATCATACCATAACTAACGAAAATAAATTCAACTAACTAACAACAACATAATACGAAAATTAAATCATACTATAACTGACGAACATAAGTTCAACTAACTAACAACAACATAATACGAAAATTAAATCATACTATAACTACTAAAAACATAATTAGACTATAATACGAAAAGTCTCAACATACCGAAAAATTTCTGTTCTGTGTATTATGCTCGATTTGGGCTGCTGAAATTTGAAGAAAGGGGAGTGGTTATATTTTTACAACTGCTGGTGGTGTGCAATTTATAGGAAAATCTGCCTACTATTCACCGTTTTTGTCGAAAACGGTGAACACCATCACCGCGTTTGTCTCAAACGGTGAATAGGTGGTAGCTGCGACCTAATTTTGACCTACCAGGGGTGGGAAATGATCACCGCGTTACTTAACAACAATGAATGGGTTCACCGTTTTTGACCAAAACGGTGATGTGTTCACCGTTGTTAATTAACGCGGTGAAAACTTCACCGTTTTAGTTTGAAACGGTGAATACTTCACCGTTTTTGTTTAAGACGATGAAGTATTCACCGTTTTGGTCAAAAGCGGTGATGACCTTCACCGCTTTTGTCTAAAACGGTGATGCTCAAACATGTGTACTTTGGGAATTTTTTTTATAACTCATGTATTTTGGGAATTTTTTTTAAGAACCTGTGTACAGTGAGATTTTTTCCTTTTTTCAGTCGATGAGAAGCGAGGGCGACGAGACACGGGGTCTGAATTCTGGAATCGGGATACGTAACTTACACTTACGCAAGATAAATTACTTCGTTTGTCTCGTGGAATTTCATTGTAACCTCGATAAATCCATTAAAGCACCTCATTTCGTAAGAATTATTAACTTCATTTGTTTAAATAAAATTCTACACATGTGATTTTTCCTAAAATTTCTTAATATGAAATGTCAACGGTCAATAGACCATGTTGACATTCTCTTGTTAAGTTCCTTCGAAAATCATCAACCTTTCAAATTATAATTTCAAAGAAATAAAATTTGCTTCACCTTTTTAAATCACCCAACATCAAACCTTTAATACGATCAATAGAACGTGTTAGCTTTCCTTCTTTCTCTCAAAACCATTCAAAACAAACGAACTACGTGGACTTTGATTCCGACTACTCGGGCACCTAGGCAACCAATTGGTTCAAGTCCAACTAATATATTTTATCAACAAGTTAACGTGCAAGCTTTAACATTTCAAACCTCTCAACTTAACCGAACTACATGGACTTTAATCTCGAGTACTCGGGTACGCAGGCAACCAATAAGTTCGAGTCCAACTAACCAAAAACTATTTATTTACGTTCGAGATTTACGTCAATAGACGTATGATCGAATTGTAATACTAAACACATAATTAATTGAATCATATAATTAAATAAATAATAAAGCCCAAAAAATAATGCACCCAACATTTTAAAAACTTATCGATTTAAGTAGTACTAATTTTAAGCGTTGTGGGGCGTGGATACACTTTCCCGTACATAACAGTACCCCCGAACCCACCAAATCCCGGTTATAACCCCAAGGTCGAGTCCAGGACAAATGAGTGTTCGCAGTGGCGGAGCCAGTGCATATTAAGGTGGGTCCCGGGACCCACCTTGGCTCAGGAGAAAATATGTACGCGTAAATAATAAGGATTAAAAATCATACCAAAAGTTATATCGGACAAGTCAATAGTTGGATATTTTATGTTGAAAATGTGGTTTAATCATGGTTCAACCATTTCAGGTTTATTCATTATATATCGCCAAAACTTTCTTTTGTTGAAACTCGCTAGATTCTTTTTATCCTAATAATAAATTCAATATATCAGGTTTTAAACCTCAACTAGATTATTATATGTATACTTTGACGTGAATATAGGCTAGCGATTGTCTAAAACTATATAGAATTAGAAGTTATTTTTCGAATCATGGTAATTGAAAGAAGTAACTTATTGTTGTTGCTAACTAAGGCTCCCTGCAAGTATTGAAATGGCATTTTCAATGAGCCACGTGAAAACACTCTTTGGTATCTAATGGGTGACAAAATCATGAATGATTATTTTATAGGATATATTCACATCGATATCATTCGATCCACTCCAATTAAGGTCGATGGCAACTCCGAGCATCGCAGGACGGCTCCCCGATCTCGAGGAGCGGTTGCGACACCCATAAAAAAATATTTGTACCAAAATCACGGGTAAATTGATTTTCCTATGATTATAATGACCAACGATCACGACCCTCTGTGACCATTGAGACAAAACTCGTTACTGTAAATTGATCACAATCATGGAAAATCTTGTGACTATTTCATAGTTTAATCACGATAGTGTTACCGTGTTCAAATATCAGTCATGAGAATTACCTGTTAGTCGGAGGAGAATTTTCCTGTAGTGAGTGTGGCTTGGAAGATGAGCATAAATAACTTTGATTTAGAATGATCAATGAGAGAAATAAGGATTTGAATTATCTTTGAATATTAAGTGTTATTTGTTTTACATATTTTAAATTCTAAGTACGAACATTTGAATATTGGTGTTATTTGTTGGATTTTTTTTTGTCATATATTGGATTCTAAGTAAGAAGGTCTTTGGCGCTCCCAAATCTTGATGATACTCTCGAGTCATTGCGATTACGTGTTCCGAGAAAAACGAAGGGAGTGGGAATATATATTGTTTTGCCTTATGTGCACACACTTTTCTTTTTTAATGAATTCAAAGTAGTCGCCTAATAATCGTCATTTTAAATAGACGATTGATGTCGAAACGATGTCGATCTTCACTTGAGATGTGATGGAGAATAGAGCACATGAATTTGCACAAGAATCATTGAAGATTTACTATGATTTGAAGGATTTAGGATATAGGGTTCAAAATTGATGGTCTAAAAAGTTTAGGTCAATGCATTGATTAGTTGTGATCATATGTGATATTAAAGTAATCCTATCAATGAAAATGTAAAATTCGACTTAGAGTTACGTTATATATGTGACACTCAGCACCGAAATAGTGGCACGTACGTAATAAGTAGGTAGGTTAATAGCAAAACGTACGTGAGTGTACTAGACTTGTCATCCTTATAAGGTTTTTTATTTTATTTTTTTTCATAAAAAAAAAATATCACAGTCCCCGTTCTTACCCACAACTGCTAATATATAACCCCCGTCCCCTCCCTAAGTTTCTGACCCAACAAAAGGGTACGTTAGTGGGCCAGGGCCACAAAGAAAAAGGCTTGAAAATGGCCAGGCCAACCCAAGAAAAGGCTACGGTAAAGACTGAAAATCAATTTAACTGGAATCCGATTATCTAGCTAGCAGAATTATAGATTGGATGGATGGGATTAGATAACGTGTTATATTGGTTGACACACGATTAACGGATTAATTAGGCTTTAGTTTGGTTAAGTTAGTAGTGGAATTAAGTTAAGTTAGTTTACGTACTTGGTTAATGGTATTAGATTGCATGCATGCATTGTTAATAAAACTTGGACGTAATCAATTTGGTAATTAGCATCATAGTCATTCATCATTCATCAATGATTACATTTGCAGTAGCTTAATAAACAGAAAAAGCCCCATTCCATTTTGCAGTAATTATATATAATGGAGGAAATAAAAGCCGGCCCTATTCCAATTTGCAGTAATATAAGATAGGGAATAAACAGTGGCGGTACGAATTGGATGGCAGGGGAATGGGGATGATGCCAGGCAGCTGGGGATCACTGACACTGAGCACCGTCGCGGCCCATTTACTCGCGGTCGCGGGCTGCATGGTTGGGCGGCGGCGCGGGTTGGTAGCGGTCGAGGAAACTCCTGGTGTAGCAAAGGACGGCGATGACCAACGACACTAAGATCGGGTCCTTCACACTGCCCCCGGCAAAGGGTGGACCCCATGTATAGATGAGGGTGGCTCTGAGCATAATAAAACAAAAAAAAAAATTTAGTCACAAAATGCACAATTAAGCACCACTGCACGTACATGATCACGTAACAAAAAAACAAATCACCCTCCTTACCCGAACCAGAGTGTAGTGCCGTCCAAGTAGCCGGGGGGAACTTTGCCGCCTGGGAGATAGCGAAGGCGTAGATGGAGACCACGACCAAGGTCCAGACGGTGGCACGGGAGTAGTACACGACGTAGTTGAGAAGGCAACCATGGGCGAACAAAAAGCATTGGAGAGTTGCGTTCACCCACCACTTCGCCATGTGAGCCTCCATATCATCCCAGTTGCGGTTGGTCTTGACGATGAGCGCGGTGGTGCCGACGGCATGAGCCATGACGAGAGCGAGAGTAACCCCCAAAAAACCCCTTCCAAAAGCGGTTTGCTTATCCTTCGGCCAGGTGAAGTAGTCGCCGAAAGCCACGATGAAGGAGGCGAACGCTGCCAAGTAGGCCAGAATCAGGGGAGCCCACAGGTACTCGAAACACCCTCCAATGGCCGCTCCAAACCTTGCCGCAGCCGCTTTTATGGCGTCCTTCACCGCCATCTTCGATCTTCAGAGAGAGTCGACGCAGAGGGAGAGAGAAAGGATGGCAGGCCAGCTGTTGCTTTTGCTTTTTTTCTTTTGAGTGAGTAGCGATGGACTGAGGGAGTGAGGGAATTTATAGAGGGGGTGAGGACACCTGGCCGCCTCTCCAAATCTCCAGCCTGCTGAGAGGACGCCGATATTACCTGCAACGTGGACGCACCCCATTCGGGGTTGGGATTTTTAACGACCAGCTGTAGGGAGCCAATGAGATGAGAGGAGAGGAGGGGTATATTTCTCTGCGGGAAATCTGGTGTGAGCCAGAGGGTACAGAGCAGAGCAGCAAATATTCCCTTCTTTCGCCCACATGCATTCCCTTCAAGTTTGTTACATCATATTATCCAGAAACCATTTTGTCCCTTCTCCCCCTTTCCTTCCCACGCAAGGAAGGACATTCAGGCAGGCAAACAAAACCACCATTCCATTTCCACCCTTCCCTCCAATCACAATGCGCCACCTGCTGGGCCTCGGCACAGGTAACATCTTCTGTACTGTAATATTCACATATATATAAAAAATAATACTAACATAGGAAGATCAACAAATAAATGATTTTTAAGTTTTTGTTCCAATAAACGTCAAGCAATAACGCAAGCAAGCACGTTGGATAGATATAATATTTCAAAGTTGTAAATTTATCAATTAATAAATTCTTCCACGCGGACACATCATCTAGTTATCATTAGATAGGGAAAAAAATTTGCTTACTAATGCATGCATCCATTCATAATTTTTATAACAACGAATAAAACATAACAATCAACTCATAGTTAATCCTTTAACATATTACTGATGGCCTTTGTACATTTACCAGGTTTGGATTTCATGCTCTCCCACTTTATAATCCAAACTAGAAAGTCAATGCCTGGTCATGCCGCGATCACTATGGATTTAGGGATGAAAAGCGCACCCATGACCGCGGGTACCCGACCCAATCAACGCGGGTAATCCCCGCATTGACCTGATATGAGTAAAACTCGCAAAATGTTTGACGGGTATGGTTTTAGCCTCCCCTGCCTCATACCCATACACATACTAGTTAGTGATCGTAACTTAAGAAAACAAATAGTATAAATAAAATTGGTTGGCCACCCAAATAAAAAGCTAAAAACTTTTCCTCAACTATTTTTTCACCCTTTCGCGTTTCCCTCGCGTTACCAAGATTATTTTAGTTAGTTAGCTAGTTAGTACTTATAAGTAGATGTATCAGAGCCAGAGAATAATTATTTGGATTACATTGTCCGCTATCTTATCAATGTATGTTTTAGAATAAGATGCTTTGAACCATATTAAGAATGATTGTCTCTTTGACGGTTTCATGATATAGTAGGCGCATTTAATGTTATAATTGAAAATTTACATATAAAATTTTAGGCATTATAATCTTGGATGTACTGTGTGGGTATTACTCATGGGTACCCGAAACCCACGGCTATGGGGATGGGTTTGCAAAACCTTTCCCGCATGGGTATGGGGCGAGTATGGGTTCGGATATTCGAAAGCGTGGATGGGGATGGTTTAGGCAAATCTTCCCAAACCCGCCTCATTGCTATCCGATCACATTCTTCCGTGCAGATTATTTTAATGGTTAGCACGTGTCAATAACCACCCCATCACAGGCCAAGTTTAACCTAAAATGGCATTGTCATATGGCAATCAATGTCGTATTCACTAAGGTCCTGGTACCCTAGCCTACTTCCCACGTTGTTGTTATCTAGCCAATCAGTTTGAAGGTTGTGTTGGAGGACTTGAGCGAACTAACTAGTTAAGAGATCGAATAAGGATAAAAGTAGGTACTTCGGGGAACTATCCATCACCCTAGTCCAGGACTTCTATTTAATGACTAGATAATTAGGGTTTGTCGAATGTGGTGAGTGAGCTCTTTTCTGTGGGCTTTCGTGGTTATCCACATGCCTCTTATTACGCCTCCCCTAAACCCATGTAAGTCACCTCGATCTAGGCTATCGTATATAGGGAATTAAGACCATTGCTCATTTCAATGGGTACTGCCCACCGTCCACATCGAGGTTTCATCCCGGGTTCTATCTAGGAAGGCTTACCTACGGTAGGGATTCGGTCGCCCCGGCCACCATAGGTCCCTATTCATACATCTAACCTCAATTTGCTTGATGGCGCATAACCGTCTAACCCTAAAACTCCATACCCAGCTTAGAATCTCAAGTAGGCTAGTAGAGAAGATTATGGCTACTTACCCAAGCACAATCAAATCTAGAATAGCATTAAAATCAACTAGATAAACACATTCATTCATTAAAATCCTACAATATCCATTCATTACATAATAACCCTAGAACTAGGGAAAATGGTGTGCTAGGATTCATAATTGTTCACCTATTGAGTAGCATGACATGAGATCATAGTCAGGTATGGGTTTGGATATTTGAAAGCATGTGGATGAAGATGGTTTAGGAAAATCTGCCCCAAACCCGCCTCATTGCCATCCCTATATGGATGAGTTTTATATTATTACTTATAGGCCCGTTTGTTAATGTATTGTGTCCGAGTTTAGATTATATGCAATTGGGTGAATTTATGAGTTGACAAACTAACTAGTAGAAAATATCCAACTGCGTAGAATATGTGGACATTTACTGAACACGTTATGCTGAAAATACTTGTCAATCCTGCTATTCTAAGCTCTTTGTGTCTATTTCATACCATACAATGCCTTCTTCAGTTTCAACACTTTATCTTCTTGGCCTTCAATGACATATTCAAGAGGTTGTTCCACATAGATATCTTCCTCGAGATATCCATTAGAAAAGCTGACTTCACATCCATCTGATGTATTTTCCATCCATTTTGAGCAACGAGAGATATCACCATTCTAATAGTCTCCATTCTTGTTCAACCACCCAAGCAGGATACAGGAGAAGAACTCCCGACGTGGGGACCCGAGAAGGATGGGAGGTTTAGGGTGAGCTCGGCCTATACCATTGCTACCCGTGATGACAGAGAGCAATGTGGTCTCACCTGGCACAAAATCTGGAGGTGGCGACGGTCGGCCTCGGTCAATCACTTCCTATGTATGGCGGTTAGGGAGCGTCTTCTCACAAACCAGGAACGGGCGCGACTTCACATAGCTACTTCACCTAAGTGCAACCGCTGCATTGACCAACCCGAGATGATCCTACATGTGTTGCGGGATTATCCTTTTTCCAGGTTCTCTTAAAAATTTTGTCCGGTTAATCGCTAACGTCAAATCTCTTGCTAATTTGGCATGATAGTACTCTACAATCATGAGACAAGATTGAATTTGTTGTACTGTTCATTTCACCATCTTTTGATGTGTTAATAAATTTGTCATGGTTGTAGGCCAATCTAGAGGTTATCTCACAGGTATTTTTAGAGGTCTAACATCAATATCGTTTTATTCTCCTCCCCATAATGGAATGGTAATATTTGAATTATGTCCCAAGAATATGTTTCCATAGCAAGAAATGCAATAAGACTCTACAAATGAATCAATTCATCGCTTGGAGGAGCCATTAAATTGGTAGTTTTCCTACTACTGAACCATATGAGAATAATTTATCTTTTAAATTAATTACCAGTAAGATAAGTATATTAACTATTACTAGTGTAAGTAGTTCTTTTATTTCAAGTACCTGATTCGGGCCTAATTGTACATGTTTTGTCCGTGTTTTACTAAGGTGTTTGTGCCAATTTCACTCCTAAAAGGTTGGTTTTACGTTAGGTTCCTCGTGTTTTAGTGCGTTTCAGGATTCAACAGGTGAAACCAGCCTCAGAGTCGAAAGTTGGGGGAAAAGGATTGTGTATAATTAGATTGCTTAACATCCTTAGGTTTGTGCATTTAGGTTCTTAGCAACATAAGGATTGTGCATAATTCTGCTTAGCACCCCTAGGTTCGTGCATGTTGGTGCTAGCAATCTAATTAGCCACCTAATCTAGGTTAAGTTAGGGCAACCCTCAATATCGAGTTAAGCAAATCTGTTAATCGCGATAAAGCCATCCGACCTTAGAGTTGAATGAGGGAGTAAGTCAACTACCGATTGTCTAAACCGAGAGGGTCGAGTGACACGACCTCTCATGCTTACCTCAGTTTAGCAATTGAGATTGTGGTCTCCGACCATATATGCATCCCTCGGCGGTTCACAATTACCGTGCCCAAAGCAATTGTTCCAATGAACATATCATGGTAGCAGTTAGGGGGAAGCGGCACCCTAGTGATCCTTCCACAAAAGAGTTTTCATAACCAATTACCTTTGCTTTCTTTCATTTCAATTAGCAAACCTTTAAACCAAAACTTTGTTGCTAGATAATGATTTCAACAACCGAAGTAGGGGTAGGCTGATCGACCCGGGTTGATATCTAAATACTTGCCCTATACTGCACCCGACTAGAGTTTAAAAACTTGGCTCTAGTTGAGATTTTATTGTGGTTTAGTTTCGACCGAGTCAGTACCATATCTGGTGTTTAATTCCTTACACGTTTGATCTTAATTTGATGCTAGATTTGATGAATCTGTCTATGGTGATTGCTTAGATGTTTCTTTGTGAACTTATATATTTATCAAAAGTTACATTATTGTTGTTTGTGAGTGACTAATAATAAATTTTCCATCAAAACTTGGTATAGCTAGATTGGTTAGAGTGCTTGCTACTTTGAAACATGGAATTTGGTGTACACATTTAGTTAGTTGTGATACCAAGTACACATGATACATCCTAACCGATGGAATCAAGTACAAAAGTTACTCAGGCAGATAAGCTGTGACTAGTAATGGTCTTTATAATATGCAGTTATAAAATCTCTCAAACTCTGCACTTCAAAAGTTCTATTTAAACAACTCAATCCAATGTGATACTGAGCAGTGTAGTAAATATATCCGGATAGCATTATGTTCCCCAAAGTGCGATAAGATGAAGGATACCTAAGTTTCCCGAGGACAATACCAGCCTAATTGGCTCTCTCAAGAGTTCATAAAAATTAACTTAAATGATAAATCCGATATATTTGTCAACTAAATGGTTAAATGAGATAGAGTGCTACGTATAAATATAAGTGGGGAGCTAGAAACGAATTTAGTGGCCATATTAGGTGACATTTGAGTTAATTTACTTTTGTGGTGAGTGTATCATTGACAAACAAAACACACATTATTATCAGTGTGAATGACGAAAAAAATTATATAACCATCAAATTCTCCGGTCAACAAGTCGGGCCTTGTACTAGTACTTGCTTACTGGCTAGCTACGTTAATGTTTCATTTCCTTCGTTGATCGATCCATGGTTGGCCACTGGATCCATACACAAAAACGTTGATTTTAGGAATTCTTCCAAATTCTCCGGCCTAGAATTTACTGGCTAGCTACGTTAAGTTTTCTTTATTTGTTGATCCAGTACTTGAGCGATTCAATCTTATTCTAGGCCGAACCAGACCATACCCACTCCCACATAGAAAAGTGGTCTCTTTAAAAGCAAGTTATAGACTTATAGCTATCACAAACATAAACGAGAAGAAAAATCCCACAACGTTTTGATCTTAGCATTATAAAATATAAACAGTTTATCAAAGGCAAAGAAGATAGTTCCTTTTAGGAGTTAATTGCATGATTGGTCACTGAAATTATAAAAAACGTTCTTGTTTGGTCACTAGAAATATTTAATTCATTTCTTGGTCATTAACTTTACATTTTCTTTTCATCATTGGTCACTCTTCGTCCAACTCCGTTAAGTTTGTCCTACGAGGCAGTCAACTCTATTAGTTGACTGTTAAATGAATGATGTGGCAAATAAAAAAATATAATAATTTCCACCTCGGTGCACACAAGTACATGTTCTGACCGTAGTAATTCTTACTATTCTCACCGTCGTCGCCAACGATCACGATCGCAGTGGACCAGCTCCAGCTTCTCCACATTCGGCATCGACCAGCGCTCCGGGTAGGAATACACCGCCACGGTTCGGGTCGAGGTGGGGATCACGCAGCTGCGGAGGCGGAGGGAGGTCAGGTTGGGAGATTCGAGTACTCGACGATCAGTTTGTGGAGGTCGAATTTGGCGGAGATTTTGAGGTGTTTGACGGTTGCACAGAGGGAGGTGAATTTTTGGGGGGAATTGATTAATTGCGGTGGTTAGGGTTAGGTCGGTGAAGCGGAATGTTCGGGCGCGGTGGGTTGAGCTGTAGGAGTAGATCCGGTCGAAGCGATCAGTTAATTCAGGGTCGGTGGGCGGCGAGTGAGAGGGTGAAGAGGTCGGCGGAATCGGGGTCGCGGAGGATGAGGATCTTTTTGACGAAGAGGCGGAAGCGGTTGGCGTCGGCCGGAAGGGTTGGAAGTGGAGGGAAGTGCACCAGCAGGTGGAGATCGAGGAAGGTGGTTTGGACGGCGACTCGGGTGTCGTACTGCTCCGCGATCTTGGATTTGTGTCGTAGATGATGCTGCTTCCTATGCTGCTGTAGGGGCACTATTAATGCAAGTATGCTTTGCTTCTGGGTACATGAAGTTGATGCAGTGCAATTGGTGATTTTGTCAAGCTCGGGCCTAATTGCTACACTGTTTAACCTAAATTCACATGAAAGCAGAGGATATGGTGGTGTTTTTAGGGGAGGTGGCTAACGTTGGCGCAGGTGGAAATTATCAAAAATTTATTTTTTATTTGCCACATCTCTCATTTAAAAGTCAACTAATAGAGTTGACTGTCAGTCTGCCACGCAGGACAAACTTAACGGAGTTGGACGGAGAGTGACCAATGATGAAATGAAAATGTAAAGTTAATGACCACGGAAGGAATCAAATATTTTCAGTGACCAAACATGAACGTTTTTTTATAATTCCAGTGACCAACCATGCAATTAACCCGTTTAAGGTATTGTGGGAGAAGTTTACAATTCCATAGCATAGTTTTTTAATTTGGTTGGTGATTTTCAATCGTACTAAATTGTCAGAGACAAGCTAAAATTATGTGGCTAAATCAGATGATTGTGTTCTTTGCAACAAGGAGACAGAAACAAAGAGTCCGGCCACTTGTTTTGTAAATGTCCTTATTATTCTCTTGGTGTCTTGCACTATGATTTTTGTAGGAGATAAGTATATATGCTTGCTAGCCGAGAAAATTCATAGGGTTGTTACTCGTCTCACTGGGGGATTAGGGTGTTTGAAGCTAGTGTTAGAAATTGAGAAGAATGTATTGCACCAGCTCAAGGAAATTCAAATTAACCTGATTTGACCCATAAGTCCAGACAATATCCCAATACTGTCTTTTTTAATATTCGTACACTCACCTAATATATCTTACAGACGTTCCAAAATAAAAATCAATCCATCGATAGTAATTTTTATATATCTGAATATCATATACTTAATATTGAGATAGTTAGAATTCGAACGCAATACCTCTCAACTATAATAAACTCTAATACCATTGCTAACAGATCATTCAACTACTGGTTCATGATGATTGGTGTGGCTCCATTCCATGAAAAGAGAAAGTCGAAATAACACCTAATTCATCAATCATCATTACATTGCATGCTAATCTTTCTACAACGTACGTTTATCTACTACTAACACACCTAATTCATATCTTCTTCTTATGCTGCTTCTGTTGTTGCACCACCAACACAGAACCCCTAGTCCGCACATCCTTCGACGCCAGCAGATCCCCAATCACTCCCAGCTCCGGAAACTCGCTCCAGTCCGACAGCCCGGCCGTCTGCGGCGACGCCACCTCCACGTGCCACCGCCTCCCGACGACGAACACGTCGTACTGGTCGGCGACGGAGGAGATCAGGCTCGCCGTCTCGGTCCCGTCCCTCACCACTCTCTCCAAGCACTGCACGTTGAGGAAGTTGGCCATCTCTCGCAGCACGCCGTTCAATACGACGTCGTCGAGGACCGTCTCGCTGCCGGCCACTTCATCGCTGACCAGGTGCAGTATGGTGAGGTGGACGGAAGGGTCGTTCGCCATTCGCTTGGCCAGGCTTATGGCCTCTCGGTCGTCGCGGCCGCCGAGGTAGATCATGCATATCGAGCGAGACGGCGCCGGTTCGGAGGCCGTCGCGTCGTTGTCGAGTGACACGACTTCGAAGCCGCCGCCGCCACAGCCGCCGCGGTCGTAGAGTATCCCGACCGAGCATGGTGCTGTTTCCAGAATCCTGTAATAATCAACCACGACAAAAGTCAGGATTCACATGTCATAAATCATCAGTTGGTTCAACACGAGTTTTGTTGAAAAAGGATTAATAATGAATTTTATATCAACCACGACGAAAGTCAGGATATATGTGTCATAAACCAGTTGATTCAATCACACGAGTTATTGGAAGATGTTTAATAACTGATCTTGTATCACATGCTTCTACGCTCCTCAAACGAAGTCACTCATTGAACTTGATGTTTGCACACATATCACGTGTAATTAATTACCAATGAGAGTCACCAGAACTCGACATAAAATCTATTGGTTATAGAAGACTTTGATAATATGTTATAAACGATTTGGTCCTATAAGGAAGTAGTTAAATATCATACATGAACCTCTCCCAATAATTCGAGCTATTGACATCAATTGGTCTATGACATGATATCAAAGTCTAGTTGGTTGTTGAGGTCACGCGTTCAAGTTCTTATGACCAGCAATATTAACCGGTGTCTTTAAAGACATGATATGATGAACCTTTGCAAACTTCAAGCCCATGAGTTGGTTTTCGTTCGAAGAGGCGTGTGAGGAAGTGGTTGAGTACCATACATGGACCTCGTCTAATAACTCGAGTTATTGTGACCAGTTTGTGACATGTCCTAATAATTCGAGGTGTTGAGACATATTCAATGATGGATATTATACCACATGCTAATTGAAACGTATCTCTGTCTTTACCTGTAATTTAGTGCCCTGAGGACGTTGTCTTCGGATTCGATCCTCCCGTCGACCCCCCACTTCCGATGGAACGGGACCAGTATCATAGAAGTAAGCTTGTCGAGTGCTAGCGTAAAAATATCCTCCTGCATGAACTTTGCATGGGAAATCGACGTGAAGATTTGTGCCGACGTACATCCCATGTTGTTCCACTCGTACTGCTCGAAGGCGAAGACGACGTCGTCGGAGTAAGAAGGTTCCGAGCCGTCCGACTGCCTCTGCTTCTGGTGGGATATGAAGATCGGCGTCGCATGGCCGACTTGCTCGAGGAGGTGGATGACGTAGAGGGCGACGGCGCTCTCTTCCGCCCGGCAGAGCGTGTCGAGCAGCTTCATCGCCGAGGCGACGTGGTGCGGCTTGTGAATGCATGCGAGGATTCGAAGCTCGCTCACGGGCCGGAGAGCGAAGATGTTCCTCGAGTGGTAGCCCGCGTATCTTCTCGAAGGTTCGTAGAGGATGCTGACTAGGACGGGGATGACCGTTGCGTTGACTAGGATAGAGAGCATGAACAAGGAGTAGAGTTGCACGCCCATCAGCTGCATGCATGGATGGAATGAATTTAGTTGTAGAAGGTACGTATAGGTTAGTAAGAATTTTTCGAGTAGGGTAATCAATTTTCAAACTTTTGTCTTAGTCTCGAAATTGATCCTAAATAAGGCCTAAAGAAGTAAGTTTAGACGTGTTTCCCTTTCTGGTTATCAACTTCCGTAATTCTTCAGAATCGCTAACTAAACGTGTTTTCGTTTTATATTTTTCATATTTGTGTGGTTACGTTGTACATTTGTTTGTCACAACTCTACTGCAACCATGCACAACCGCAACAAAACTATACTAAACGGGGTGATTAGCTGAATGAATCTCTTAAATGCATGCATGCAATTAAGTGAAAAATAACTCACCTGATTGTCCATTTGATAAGCATGAATGGAGGCATCCACAACACCCTTGGATCCCAAAATGAGCGAAAGCACGATGGAATCCACCAGCGGCATCCACGGCAGGGCAAGCAACAAGCACACCACAAACTTCTCGATGGCACTCCAGTATATCAACGCCGTGAAGAACCCTCGATTCTCAAACGCCCCAAACACCGTCGTCAGATCCGCTTTCATTGCCAACGTAGCAACGAAAACCGGAAAGAAAATCGCCTGCGGTATCGTCTCTAGGGTTTCCACCAGCGAAGACCCAAACGGCGGCCCAGCAGGAATCGCCAGCCCAAATATAAACGCACCAAGGCTGAAAGCCAGCATCAGCCCATCAAAAAGCACCACGTAGCCCACCGCCACCGCTAGGGTTAGCGACACGTAGGCCGCCTTCACCCGGCTGCCTTGCGGCGTACGCTTCACGACCCGAACCATCGCCGGGCGGAACACCAACACCGCGACGGCCATGGAGAATAACGCCACGAGGATGTTGCGCAAGCGTCTCGGCACGTCGAGCTGCATGGTCAACGTCATGCCCACGAGGTTGAAAACGGCGCCGAATAGGCCCGAGACGAGAGACGAGGATAGAGCCAGCCTGCCGATTTCGGAGTTGGTCAGCTTGAGCTCGTGGACGAGCTGTGCGACGACGGGGAACGTGGTGAGGGATTGGATGCTTGTGATGCCGACGATGCTGTTCACCGTCAGCTTGCTGTCCGCCTGAGCGATTTGCTGCCGTTGGAAGAGGAGGCCGACGGCGAGTGGGATGACCATGGAGGCTACGCCGATGGTCATGACTTTTTTGCCCGATCGGATCACCATGGCCACGTCCATTTTCACGGCGGCGAGGAAGGTGAAGGTGCAGTATCCCCAGATCCCTACCACGTCTAGGGTTTCGTGGGAGGCCTCGGGGAATAGCGTGTGTCGCACGAAATCGGTCCTTGCGAGGAAGGTTGGCCCCAGGATGACACCGGTCTGTTTCGCATGCAAAAAACAAAAGAGATAGGAAACTGAGTTTTGGTTAATGAAATTTTGATGTAGAGATGATGACATCGATATCGCGTTCCATATTGTTTCGAGGTTGAAATTCGTCTGAAATATAAGACGGTTATGAGGAAAATGAAGAGATCGCATAATGATATCAAATAAATCAAAGTACACGAACAAACTGAAACATATAGAGTACTCGTTCATGGCAAGTAAATCGATATTCATGCCGAATGTAACCTCATGCTCGAATTTAATTTCCAAATAATCATATTTACGTGATTTTTCGCACACATTACCATGATGATTTTCTTTTTACCAGGGTTTGAGACACGAAGGAGGGAATGCTGAAGCGCTTGAGAATGTAATTGAGGGAGTTGCTGATAACGTAGATGAGGAGGATTTGGAGGTTGAGGAGCGGCAATGAAGCTGAGAATACATCTTCCATGAGGGTAAATCCATCTCCGAAACTTTCTACGCTGATTAGCGGCGGGAAGTTGTAGCAAACCGTTTCATTTTTCCAGGCGACTTCTGGCTCCATGGTTGATGCTTCGGGTATTTTAACCGGCGATGGGTGAAGAAATGATGAGACGGGAAGAAATTGTTGGTCACGCAATAAAAGTCGATTTCTTCCCTCTTCATTTGTTAGGGTTAGGGGAAATATTATGGTTTTGTAAGGAAGTTTATTATGTGATTATTTCAGTTTTTGTTTTGGGATACAAACTTTTACTCAATAATTCTCATGTTAGGTTAAGATTGAGTTCGCTCTTCGAATAGAATTAAAGGATAATTCGGCAGAAACATTTGCTATTTTTGGGGTCAGGCATTAATAGTTTCCTTGTTTGGTTTCCAACAGGGAGTGCAGAAATTTTACACACATATATAGAATAGGCTATAGGCTGACGTAATTCAGCAGTACAATATACTCTAATTAACTGTTCTGTTATTGAATGTACTTCGATAATTTTGACCAATGATCATGGCCGTTAATTTTTTTCTTTTGACGAAATCGATCTTAGATAATAGTATTACTCCATTTTTTTTTAATCTTTGGTAGAATCTTTAATTGGTAAAGTTACCAGAACCATAACCGAATTCTTATGAGATCCAATCTATTGTATTAGTGTTGATATGATCACATCCAATTTAGTTAATTATTAAATGTGTTAAGTTGAGATAGAAATTTGTCACCAAATGAATCTATTATGAATCGAAGTAGATTGAACTTCTGAAATTTCGAACGTCTAGAAATTAAGTCCTCTTCTTGTGCTAAGCTGAGAAAGGCCTAGCACATAATCTGAAATATAATTTCGCTTCAAACTACGATCTCTTTTCTCTAGCGTAGTAGTAATCCGTGTACATTAAGTAATTATCGTTCTTGAAACTTATTGTTATCATTTAAGCCATCAGGTTCCCCAAATAGAGAGGTCCCAATATTTTTATTCAACATGTAGTAATAAACAAAAACATTGCTACAACGTCAGAAGCTCAAATCCTTGGTTCAGTAAGGCATTAGTCACCCAATTCTTCAAATTCGGCAAGTCGATCTGATGCCCCTGCTGGATGTTGATCTCTCTATCCTGCACATTATTTATCACAAGGAAATTAATAATATCAAGTGGGCAAAAAGATAAATAAACCAAAACGATAATCTTTTTTAAGTGATAACTAATAGAGCCAACAGTAATTAAGAAAAAAGAATATATAATTATCTTACAACTAAAGTGAAAGTCAGTATAAACTTGTCGGAAGCTGACGTGGCCAAATTCGTGGTCTGAATATCAACGAAGCTGGCCAGGGACTCGAGGGCCTTGTAGAGGGAAATCGCAACTTTCTCCCCTTTGTTGCATACTAATCTCACATAGTACCCTCTTTCTTCCACTTGATACACATCCATCTGTTAATCAATTAATTATCAAATGTGTTAATCAATCAATCAAAAGAATCATCTAATAATCTTAATCATTAGTGACTAATTAGAGATTAAAAATACTTCAATTAGCTAGGGCGCCGAATCTTGTACCGACCTGCATTAATATTCTTTTGGTGGTGATCATTGAGCGGCTGCCGTTGCTTATTGGTTTCCTTGGAATGTTTTGGTTTGGCCTGCTACCGAATTGGGCCGTTTTTGTCGAACCTGCAGCCGCGAGAGATGCTTCGAGCCCAGCAACCTCTGATTGTAGCTTCTTTGATCGGAGCTGGAGGTCTTGCATATACGACACCGCATCGCCGATTATCGACGCCTTATCCATCTGCGCATATGATTATATCGTTGAGATGGTAATAGTAGTCGTAATTAATTACCTACGCTGAATAATAATAATAATAATAATAATAATAATAATAATAATAATAATTATATGCTCATCAATAATTCAATATGACTTGACATCATATAGTTTCCAACTGGTAGCGCTGCATATAGGAAGATAGATTCTCCACGGTTTAAATTAGTTTTTATCAACTTTAAATTAAGGAAACATTATCCCATTATTGTATACATCATAATATATTTTTTATATTACAGTGGATCAGGTTTATTTAGATAATTTCATTTCGCGAATGATGAATTATGCTAAAAATTATTAACAAAAAGGTGAACTTTTGAATGTAAAACATCGTTGGGGTTAAAATCTAACTGAACCGTGAAACACACAATATAATTCCAATTTAGGTTATTCTTTGGGAGGAAGGTAGTACATAATTTATGTCAAAAAGAATATAATAGATTATGGGTCAGACTGCCGTATGTCAGGTGTATACTATACGTAAGATACTACTTGTGAGATATTTTTGTTTAGACCATTAATTAAATCGAGTTTGGGGTATGATATTATACCCTTATCTCTAATGGATAAACCCCGAACACCGATTTTCTAAACCCTAACCCGAAGTTTGATTTAATGAGAAACAAAAATTGACCGTTGAGATCACCTGATATATATAACTATAAGTACGCCTTACGTTTACCATAGATTATCATAGATTATCATGTATGTCAAAAAGAATATATAGATAGTGATTAATTAGGACTCATAATTACCTTAGTGATGTTAGGGACCAAGGATCTAAGAGCATAGAGCTTCTCCTTCATACTGCCTCGCCGCCTCCGCTCCGAAATCAAAGTCTTGGACCGGTCACCTTTCCTCCGCTTCTGCTCCCCACCCGCCGCCGTGGTGGTGGTCGTCGTGGTGGTGGTGGTGCCGGAGGAAACTTCCTCACCACAATCAACGACATTATTATTCCCATAATGATCATTATCATCGTAATCAACATCATTCATGTTCCCGTACACGTCGAAACACGGCGCCGGCGGCAGCTGCCCCGTGATAGTATTGTACGGCGCCAGAGGAGGAGCGAAGTCCACGAAGCCAGCGCCCAAGTCAGAGAATGCCACCTCGTCGGCATAGTAATGTCCCCCACCGTCGAGCGGCGGCTGCAGCGGCATTGCGGAGGCCGGGAAGTCGTGGTGTGGGGCGTTGTCGACCAGCAAGGAGTGGATGAGGTCGTCGCAGTCGTCGAATCCCCCGCCGGCGGCTTGGTCGTCGTCGTCGTTACGGCCTCGAATAAGGTCGACGAACTGGTCGAAGTTGGCGTCGGCGATGAAGTCCAGCAGCTCGAAGTTGTTGTTGTGGTGGTGGTGGTTACCACCATTTCCGTTCATGTTGCTGGCGCCAAAGTTCTCCATGAAGGATTTTGCTTACTTTTGTTTTTTTGAGGAATATAAGATGGTTTTGGTTACTATCTATAAGCTAGTTAGCTGCAAGTAGCCATCGCCATATATATCCATTACGTTACCAAATCAACTATTTGTTTTGTTTTATGGTTTCAAACTGTGTGAATGGAATAAGTTTCAGGGAATCATGACGTTGGAAGGAGTTTGTGTATCTGCATATTTTAACTTGAACTGTCTGGGGAGGAAGTTGACATGAGTGTGCGGATTATTGTAATATAATGTGACACGGTAATGTAGTTAATTTGCAGCTAATTAAGTTGTGCATGTAGTGGGTTGTTTATTTGTCAGCGAATCAAGAAAATAGTATTAAGGGAAAAAAAATGGCAGTGAAATAGGTGTAGGGTGGTGGCCAGAAGAAATTAACAGAGCTGATAAACAAAGCAGTCGCCATTAAAAAACAGCGGGTAGGAATGACAATTGAAGCATTTTAATACCAGTAGTTCATCAGTGTTATGAGTTATATTTTCATAAGTTTAAACTGTTTTTTTAGTATTTTTTTAGTATTTTATATAAATTATATAGGCATATAATTTTTTTTCTTCATAGTGAACCCTATTTAAACAAAAGCAATCTGCTGATAAAACTTACAATTAAAGCAATGAATTCACTCGCACTATGATGTCACAAATTATTGTTCTTTATGATAAACTCAAGCTTCACCTAATTTCACCTCTTTTTTCTTCCCTTTAACAATTAGATTGCGATCGCTACCATACTCTTGTAAGACATTTGAAGGTTTCAAAGCAATAATTAATTATATAGGGATTTCCTACGGTAACTTTAAGTAAGGTAACTTGAATTTTTTTACCTGTTATAGCAAGTTTCACAGGTCGCATTACGTAAAATACAATAGGCATTACGTGATGCTTACGTAACATATGGTAATCTTACGTAACAGTTGTAAAAGATCCATTACGGAAGCCTTACGTAATAGGATGCGTCTTTACGTAACGAGCATTAACCTCACATTACGTAAAATGCTAAGTCATTACGGAAGCCTTACGTAACGCTACTGATTTAACTGTTACGTAAGAAATAACTCTTGTTCCGTAACCTTTACGTAATGGAAGGTATTTTTACGTAATAAGTATTAACCTCGCGTTACGTAAAGTGCTAAGTCGTTACGGAAATCTTACGTAACGCTTCCGATTTAACTGTTACGTAAGAAACAACTATCATTTCGTAACCTTTACGTAATGAATGTGTATTTTACTTAACAGTTGAAAAATGTCATTACGGAAGCTTTACTTAATAGAAGGTCTCTTTACGTAATGAGTATTAACGTCGTGTTACGTAAAGAGCTAAGTCATTACGGAAGGTTTACGTAATGCTTCTAATTTCACTGTTACGTAAGAAATAACTATCGTTTCGTAACCTTTACGTAATGAATTTGTATTTTATGTAACAGTTGTAAAAGGTCATTACGAAAGTCTTACGTAATGGAAGGTCCTTTTACGTAATGAGTATTAATCTCATGTTACATAAAATGCTAAGTTATTACGGAAGCCTTGCGTAATGCTTCCAATTTAATAAGAATTAAAAAAAGGAAAGAATTAAATAAGGAAAAACAATTAAATGCAAAAAAGGAAAGAAAAAAGTCAAGAGAGGTAAGTGGCGTTTGGTGGTTACCGGCAACCTCCTGTTGTCATTAATTTTTTATATATATTTTTTATTTTTATTTTTTTAATCAATGATTTAAAATAAATTTGGTCGATTTTAACGGTTTAGATCTATACAAGTTACCTAACTTGAAATTATACTCAAGTTACTGTAGGAGGTCCCTAATTATATATACATATTGTTATCATTAGCACATAGGGCTACCTATTGACCCCCTCATAACTAATTTTCCAGTATTATATTTTATTAAAATCCGGCGGAAATTAAGCAATGTCAAATGTCAATGCCCAAAAATCACTTGTAAATTTACGGATCCAAACTATGTATGTCCTAGGCTCCTAGCTAGTACCAACTTTGGTACGTGTACAATGTACAAAACCGAAGCCAGTTAGGATTAGGGGAAGGCCCCGTAATTAAGAGGGCAATTAGATTAGGTGGCCCTTAATGACGCCATGTCAGCATGCTCTTGCCCTTCGGAAACGGCACTAGCCCTCCAGAGGACTCGCGGACCCACGTGTTGGCCATGCGTTTTCGTGTCGACAACATTTGTTTTCTTCTTCGGATAATTAAATGTCGAAACACTGTCATTAATTAGGTAATGTTGATTAGTATAATGGTTAAGCTGATAAAGCGGGTCTCTGGGCTTGCGCAGCAGGTGACGTTTTATATACGGGCTTAGGATTCGCCCGACAATTTTGGGTCAGCTGAGTATTATAATGCATGTATGAATTAATCTTCGCCAAAATTTGCGATGTGGCTCCTAATCAGTGGTTAGTTATGTTTTTTTATATATAATGGCAGTGGTTAATTGTAGCTGATAATAGTCAATCATTATCTGTTCATCACTGGATAATGTAGTAAAGCTTAGTTACTGTCTTACTGATGATTATGAAATGAAAAAATAATAATATACCATTACCAGGTTTCTGTAGTTTGTACCTTCATTCATGGAATGAGTTATTTTGTCATTGGAAGTTTACCTTTTCTTATGACAATGGGAATAAGGGATTCACCCTATGACCATCCCTGAAGAAGGTTTGAAAATTGCTTGGCAGAAAGGGTACATGAGAGTTAAGCTCAATTTGGATTCTTCAACATGATCAATTGACATAATTCAGGGCTCAACGCAGATAGTGACTATGGCCTGATTGCTCAACAGATAAGAGAGCTTCTCATGGGAAATTGGGATGTCAAAATCAGTCATATTTATAGAGAATTGAACTATGTTGCTGATTTATTGGATTCCAAAGATCATTATGTTAATTTTACCATACATCTCTTCCGATGCGAGCGATTCCGATTATCGTCATTAACCTTTATACCACGTTAATTCCCAAAAACTAGCTATTTTAATATGAAGTGTTATATATGCTCACTCGTCTACCTTTGGTTTCTTTGGCTTACTCACCTCGAGAAGCGAATCGGGCTGCCCAAACTGTGGCACGTAATGCCCTACGCTATCCTGATATTGTAAGCCCAATTTCCGTATAGATGACTAGTGAATAATTGTGGCCCAAGTGTAATTATCACTTAATGGTTTAATATATAAGGTAAGTCATATATTGGTTAGGTTAATGAAAGGTAATTTCCTAATATACCCTAATGGTGGGTCTATATAAAGAAACCCTAGGATTGGACCTCTCTCAACCCATTACGTAGAATTTCTTAGTCGTCATAGAAATCTCTAAACCTAAAACCTAAAGGGGTCAAGAGGGAGAAACTCAATTCTGGTGATTACTACTCAAGCTGCCGTCGCCGCTCTCGTCATGGATTGAGGTAGGTTTCCTTGATCTATTACCGATTCGTGAAATCATCTAATTAGAATATCCATGCTATTATGATTTATGTTTACAGATATAAGTAATGTATTATTTGTTTATTCCTATATGGTCTGTCTTTGAGTCCGTGTAAGGGTGTAATTGGTATGGCCCCACACGCTTATCTGGTTAATCCGCAAGAATTTCTATGACAAAAAAAAAATGAATTAGGAGGAAATATGCACCTGTGTTTAAAGAGAACACACGAAGAACCATCCGTAATTAAGATTACATTGGTAATGACCTCATAATGACACAACCGACCTTAGCTCAGTTGGTAGAGCGGAGGACTGTAGTGGTTAAATCTGCCAGTTAATCCTTAGGTCACTGGTTCGAATCCGGTAGGTCGGAAAAGTATTTTTTTTCATGTTCGTTCAGAAAAAAAAAAAAAAGAGGCCTTTGGGCTAAGAACAAGGCAAGGTCCACTAAGGAACGGCCCATCACCACAAACAGCTCTATTCCTTGTCCATCTACCACGTGAAATATATAGTGAATTAGTGATGTTATTAGCTATGCTTTCTCATTTCCCCTTTTGATTTTTAAAGACCAAAGGGATACGAGCGTGACAAAAAAAAAAAAAAAAAAAGGCCACTTGCTGCTTCCCTCCCAGAATCACAGTTGTCATTAACCCTCCCTCTGATTAAACTACGAGGGATTTCGCTATTGTTTCAGATTGTGGTTTCCCAGCATTATTAACATATTAACTGATTTCCTAGAGCGTGCACCAGTCTCTTCGAATCCAATGTGGGTGTGGAGAGCCCCAAAATAATATAATAATTATGTAAAAGAACGTAGTGCAAGCCTGAAAATTTAAACAAGCCAACGACCTCGACCTGCAGATTGTGGTTGTCACGCCGGCCGGCGTGACAACCACATGGACCTGGTTCAACTGATACCGGTCATAAATCCGACGTGACATTACCGGTATGACCGGCATGATCGATATACGAATCTCTCTAAGTAAAATGACCTTATTTTAGTAAAATTAATTGATAAAAATAATTTTATTATTTATTTTATGAGTATAAAAGTTAAATATTGATGTTATTTGTTGGATTCAAGTATAAATGTTTAAGTATTGACTTTAAATGTCATGTTTAATATGAGCATTTATAATTTTATTTGTAATATTGACCGGTATGAACCGGCACAAACCGGTATGAGCTACCGGTCGAACCATTCCACTTGCTAAACCGGCACACTGACATAAAACGGTTTGACAAAATGCAATGCCTCTCTTTTGTGCTTGCCTCGATGCTTGAACCGCTATAGCAACTAATGCTGTTTTGAATTTTCCCCGATACTGTGTTTGTGCAAAGTCAATCACCTTTTCATCTGTGGCTCTCTTTTTGACTAGTAAAAAATTCCAACCAGAAGTCAAGTAGGGCATAACCTGCCTGCTGCCTGCCCCTCTGTTTCTTGCATTGGATGCCCTCCTTCACAGGCCATATATAACATAACGTTTGCTCCCAGGTATTTCCGCTTGCCATCTTGTCAATTTATTAAAAGCCCCATTTCGAAGGTTAGTGGGTTTGCTTTTGCTTAGCCTGCTCTGTGCTCTTGGAAGGGGAGAAAGTAGAAGTGAGGAGGAAAAAAAAAAAAAGTGGGTGATGAATGTTGGTTGTTGTTTCTCATACTTTGGAAGCTTTGCAACAAGTGGCTACAGCAAGCAAGGTTAAAATTTTGGTCCCTGAACAGTTATTTGGGAGCAAGTGAAAATTAGTCCCCCCAGTGGTACATGGATGGAGGGAAAGTGTCTTGTTTTTTGTTTCTATGAAAGAGGAGGGAAAGAGGCAGCCGCGCGCCTACGAATTTTCATCTCATTTGAATCGCAGCAAATTGTTCACCACATGCCTTGTCGTTACGACGTGAATGGGTTGCTTGCTCTCTAACACATTGTCATCCTTTGTATCAAACATAACAGTATCTTTTATAAATAACACCGATCGAGGAAACACGTTGAGCGGTTACAATGCCATCGACACGAGTTGAACTTGAACACACCATCTCAGGGTAAGCATATAATATAAGCACAACTGCTTCCGTATACACGCCCAAAACAAGTAGGGGAAAATGAGGCACTTTATGTCAAAGATGCAATCCCGCTCAAGACATGATGTGACGGGGGAAAAAGTGGGCATGCTGCAGCTACGTTATGGAGGGAAAAGAAAGGGGAATTCTCATTCAAGTAAAAGCTAGCTGGGAAATCTCAGTCAGTGAGGGGACAAGAAGTTCTGAGATCTGCTGCTGCTCCACTGCAACAAATGAGTGATGACTGAGTTCCTTTGGCTTTCCTTTTGCTTTTCACCACCAGCCTTTGAGATTTTTTCTACCGGTAGCCGAATCAAATAAATAATCAATCACATGGCTGATGGTGGGGCGACCCAAAGCCATAATAGCACCAATCATTTCAAAATTCGAATTTCATTCTGGAGATAGACAGAACTTCTGCACATGGGATGGTACATACACTTTTTTTCCAGAATTGTAGGCTTGGTTGGTACTCGTCTGTCTGCTAGGAACCGCAAGCAGCAGCTTGACATGGTAATGCCTGGGACTGGATTATAACCCGAGCTCCTGAAGCAAGCCTGTTTACAGTAATGAGTTGATATGTCAGTGGAGAAGAATATTGGTCAGCTCGAATGTGAATACGTAGAGAGATGGATCGAAGCCGATACTCAACTTTCTTCGATTTGGATCACATTATTGTTGTTGTTGTTGTTGTTGTTGTTGTTATTCTCTTCTTCCCTGAAGGATTCCAGTTTCTGGGGCTGTTTTCTGCCGGAGCCGGGCTCTGCGACGACTCTTTTGCTGCCACCTTGAGGAGTCTGGAGGCCGGCTGCCCCATCAGACGAGTTTCGAGGCTTGTCGGAGGTAGGGGAGTGCATTGAGGCAGATCGAGGGTGCTTGCTAGATGAGGCCTTCATTGCTAGCGGAATGCACTTTGAACCCATTCCAGATGTTGATGATTCTTCGCCATTGTCGCTCGGGTTCAGTTGCTTAGACGTCCTGCAAAAAAAGATTTGTGTTTCTAATTCAAAGGCTGGCCCACGCGAGATACAGAATGAAATAAATGATGGTTTTGCTTGCAGCCAAAGGAACTATTAAGCTCTGTCAAATGATAATTCCAGTCACCACTCAGTGCCCACCATCAATCAAATGAATTTAGCTCTAATGATGTGACCAAGGGGGTGTGTAGCAAGTTAAATTAAGTTATTGAACAAGGTTTTGAATCCGCTAACATTACCTGTCTGCATTATAAGAGGACGAGCGTTTCAGGGTCGTTGCTTCCTCCTTAGGCAATTTTGTCTCGATCAAGCTCCCGCTGAAGTACTCTTTGTCTTCCAGTCTCAAGCTCATCAACGTAGGGTTATCCGACAGGCAATCGAGCTCTCCGAACATGATTGACGTCGAGAACAATGGAGAGGCATATTTGGAATGAGAAAATTTCGGCTTGTAAGTCGGGATGAGGCCAAAGCTGTGATCTTTCACTGAAATAGAGCCACAGGAGATCAGCTGCATCAACACGTTCGTGGCCTTTAATCGTGGATTTGTTGACATCCGAACATCTTCCCCTTCCAGTATCCTAAAGCTGTTGATCTTATTCACATCGGCTCTGATCAAAGACTCCAAAGTTTCGGTTTTGCCACCAGATGAAGATGCACCGCTGGAAGTAGTAGATGGTGGTGGAGGTGAAGCTGAATTCTCGCCCGCTTCGGAGTAATTCTTCTTCGCACGAGGCATCTGCCTCAGAGAATCACCATTGCATTCACGTTCTAGCGAACCATCGTCAGTGGAGACGCCTCGAGTGCAAGTCTCTCTGGATTTAGGCCCGCTTACATTATTCTCCTCAGTCTGAGTCGCAGCATGTGCAAACCCGTCGCTTCTGTAGACCTTGTATTCTGTCAACCCCACGGAACCACTCCAAGTAGAATTTTTCCCATCTCTGGACTCCGGAGATATGCTAGAGGAACCAGAACGACGTTGGCCTGGAGGGGAAAGCTCGTCCTCCTGAGAGAGCTTCGTTTCCTTCCCGTACATGCTTGATGAAGATGAAGAATCGTCTTGACTTTTGGATGAAGATGGTTCTGGCAATTGTTTCAGATTATTCTGGATCTTCACTGTTCCAACAATGGCGGAACGATCTGGAGTACAATATCCAATCTTTAAGGCCCTCAAGCTTCTAAAAGGAGAGAAGCAAGTCTCAACTTAAAAACACTAGCAGGCTAACCTGGGTTGGAATCTTCAAATAGTTCAGAACCTTTGAGAACGTACTCATTTCCATGAGCAGGAACAATCAGGTCATCCTCAGAAAGGTCATGCCAAACAAATCCACTTTTGTAGCTTCTGCAACAGACCAAGGGACCAGGAGAAAAAGGGACGATTCAGAGACTCAAATCTTTTTTCATGCCTGGAGACTTTCTAGCTAGTTTCCCAGCAACCAAACACTCCATGAATAAACGAAATTGAGTAGATATAGAAAGATCTAATTATGATAGTTTTTGTCACCTCTTGCTGGACCATGAGTACATAGAAGTCATTCCTCTGCCTCTCAGCACGTTAAGCTTCTCAATCACATCTGCACAAACACAAAAACTCATCAAATCTCAAAACAAATGGAGAAAAGACAGCATGAAAACCGGAAATGAGAGAAGCAGACGTGAGAGACGACCTCTGAGGTAGAGACCGTCGGGCGACGAGAGAGGGACTTCAATGAAATGAGGATGCTCAAGCTGGCGATTCCGGCAGAGGTAGTAAACGACGGGGACTTTGCGATGCTGCTGGTGGTACTTCGGCGACCTCTCCGTCCACACTTTGGCTCGCTCCGGACTCACCTGCCGGTACTTCTTCATCCTCGACTCCATTCCCACCGCATCCAAAACCCTAACCGTTGCCTAGAATCGCAGTTGCACACCACCACCACCTTATCAACTCTCCCCTAGACCTCTCCACTCGCTGAAAGTAGAACCGGCAGCAAATCAGAATTCACAATTCCAGCTGGAACAAGACAATTCAATCGAACCAAATTCGGCGCAACCGGCCAGATTTCAAAATCTCGAAATAGCCAGAACATCACAATGGAATCATGGCAGATCGCCGCAGCAATTCAAACCGAAACCACGCAACTCAATTGAGCAGAATTGAAAAATTCCAAGAAATTGAAGAATGAGAGAAGCTCACGGGACGAATGAGGATAATCTTGAAAAAAAATGAAAAGAAAAGGTAACCGCAACTAGGCCGCCATTAATGCAGCTCCATGGCGCGCGGGAGAGAGAGGCGGGGGAAAGAGAGTTAATGCAGACTTACTTATTTTTGCGAGGTACTAACTACTAAGCGATATCGGAGTGAGACAGAGACGACGATTATTGAAGGAGCAGTAACTAACAGCAGCGATGGCGACAGGAGAAAGGAAACGACGAGAGAGGAAACAGCGCTGTCGTCGTCGACGACGACGACTATCTTTCTGGTGTCGCCTTTTGAGCTTATCTTTTGGCAGGATTTTGGAGCTTGGAGAGCTGGGGGGACCAGCAGCAATGGCGGAGGGACGGTTGCGAGAAAGTGAGGACTCGCTCGCTGGGGGAGGAAAGTGGAGTGGGCTTCGGTACTTCGGGGAGCCGATTTGATCTGTTGGCTTCCTCTGCTCTCGATTTTAATTTTTCGAGTTAAACGCCTTTTGCTTGGTTTTGTTTATTTTAAAATTTTGAGCTGGTTTGGCTTTACTTTGACACTTTCCTTTTTCCCTCTTTTACTGGCTTTTGGATTTTCCCCCACTGATAGCTGTCGTGGAAGCAGCGAATGAAAGTTACGCTTTTGATTTTTCCACGTCACTCCAACTGCCAGCTCTAAACCGAATCGGGCAAATAAAATCGTCAAATCAATTACAAGTAGGGCTGGAGGTTCGGTTATCGGTTGCCGGTTAACGGCCGGTTAAACCGATAACCGGATGTTACCGGTTAACCGATAATCGAAAATTATATGCTTGGGTCGGTGGTCGGAGCTCCTAATAGGTACTTCGGTTAACCGAGTAACCGAAAACTGGTTATCCGGTTGACCGACAATAACCGAAAATACCCGGTTATGAAGTTTATAACTTTATGTTGTTGAATTTGAGACATTAATTTGGTGATTTAGATGTATTTTCTATTCAAAAGTGGTTGAGACTTTACTTTGGGTGTGATTTAGATGTAGAAATGTAAGTTAGAACCTTTCATTTTAGGCGATTCTAATAATTTTACCCGTTAAAACCGAACCACCATCATTTTTTCGGTTATCTCGGTTAACCGACCAACTAAACGATAACCGACCGGTTGGTTATTGGTTAACCGAGGCATTGGCGTCGGTCGGTGTTCGATAGGGGGAGATGGTGGTTCGGTTAATCGGTAACCGACCAATCGGTTATCGGTTATAACCGAACCGAACCGAATCCACCCCTAATTACAAGAGCGATCCGATCCAGTTGCTTGAAGAATTAGGGATAAATCGTATAATTATTAATCAGTTTGACATGAAACAAGAGCACCGTAATAAAATGGTGAGATGCTCAATTACAGAAAAGTCAAATTTGGAATGGGATACGGCATTATCCATCATTCATTGCACAAACTCAGCTTCAATCAAAGGGCACCGTCATATCAATTGGAAGATAGATGTGTTCATTAGCATTTCTCCATCATTTCTCATCATTATTCATCGTCTACGGTCTATTCACAATTTCACATGCAAATCTGATGGCTACCACAAAACCTCCTCTTTTAGGACTATCGTGTGGGCTTGTCTACAATAGGGTTGAAATGGGCGTAGCCCACGATAGAGTTTGAAAACGGTAAGCCCAACCCGAGCTAGTTAATGTGGGCCTTTTATCCTTGATCAGAGCTCAGAAAAAGTTAGGCTGAGCCAGAGCCCAGCCCATCTGACCCTGGCATATGCGTTGAAAATGGCGATGGTCGTTGCAACAAAAGTGCCCGCCCAACTCCCGCCAAAAGATTTAGCTCGCTCTCCCAAAGCTTTCACTCCACTCTTCCTCCCTTCCTCTTCGTCACCTCAGAATAAATCCGGCAGCCGCTGAATTCCTGTCAGTCTTGTGAATGCTAACTCTCCGTCCATGCTTCGTTTCTCTTGTCTCATTACCGGTTTCGCCTCCCTGCCGTCGACCAATCTCCCTTCCCCGCTCCTTCCATTTCTTCTCTAAACCCCTCTCCTTCCTCCCAAAACCCTCTTCCCCTCTCTTCCTAAACCCTACTTCCCAGATGTCTAATCGCCCCAACGCGTTCGACATTCTCAAATCCAACGCCAAATCCGTCTACAAGAATAAGCCCCAAGCTCAGTCTCCCAAGAAGCGGAAAACCGCCGAGCCCGAAAACCCTAAACCCGCCTCCGCTTCTCCCGATTCAGCGCCGGAAACGAAGGTTCCCGACCCTGAACCAGCCGCTCATGGTGGCGATTCTTCCACTGACCAGAAATTGGAACTGCCCAAGGCGGACGGTGCGCAGAAGTCGTTTTTCATGCCTTGTAGTTCGAAGAAAATCCGCGCCGTCGATAGGGTTGAGGAATTGAAGAGCAAGGTTGGGGATTTGAAGAAGAAAGCCAAGGAATTCCAGCCGGAGAAAGTGGCGTGCTGGGAGAAGGGAGAGAGGATCCCTTTCATTTTTGTTTCTTTGGCGTTTGATATGATAGCTAACGAGAGTGGGAGAATTGTGATTACCGATATCGTGTGCAATATGCTGCGTACTGTGATGGATACTACCCCGGATGATTTACTCCCGGTTGTCTATCTCTTGGCTAACAAGATTGCGCCCGCTCATGAAGGGGTTGAGCTTGGGATTGGGGAAGCAATCTTGATCAAAGCACTGGCGGAGGCTTACTCGAAGATGGAGAGGGATGTGAAGAAGATGTACCAGGTTGGCTCCTTTTCTTGGTTCTTGATCTTCGGCTTTAATCTTGCAGAACGTGTTATAATTTGGTCAAATGCAGGAGATGGGAGATTTGGGGCTTGTCGCTAAAGCTAGCCGCAGGACTCAACGGACAATGTCCAAGCCCGAGTCTTTAACAGTCGCCAAAGTCTTCGACACATTTCGATTGATTGCTAAGGTTCTCTGTCTATGCCGTTTTAGCTGGAATTTTGTTTAGTACCCTGAGAAGTTTATCTTACTGCAAAATTATAGGACATTATGTTGCTCCCCTCACTTTGTGATTGACTTTGTTGCATGTTCTTATGATTATTGATAGCAATCTGGTAAGGATAGTCAAGACAGCAAGAGGAAACATATCAAGGGACTTCTTGTGGCGGCCATTGACTGTGAGCCTCAGTATATTATGCGCTTGCTTCAGGTTAGGTAATTGGAAGTTTCTTGCAATATTCTGTCTGCTGACTATTTCTCACAGAATTCTGACCTTGTGATTGATTTCACAGTCAAAGTTGCGAATTGGTTTTTCAGAGCAGACTCTTTTGGCTGCTTTAGGCCAGGCTGCTGTGTATTTTGAGAAGCATTCTAAACCACCTTCAAATGTTCAGTCACCTTTGGAAGAGGTCTGTTGAAGCACTCCAACTAAATACTGTTTATCCTTCTGTATTAGGTATCTTAAACCATTATGTTCATTATTGGTCCTCTAGTATGTTCTCATCTGCATCACCTTGCTTCTCAAATGTTACTGTAAACTAATAGTTGACCTGGCAACTTTCTGGAAATTGTGAGGCTGCCTGTCATCTGAATGTTTCTCTTTTCTTGCGTCTCAAATAATTGTATTGGTGAACTGGAGTAGTGTTCTCAAACTAAGGTAGTAACCCGCCCCATCTCAAACAGTCCAGAGGTTCCTTCAGAATTTGATCTTGAGTTAGTATTTCGTACTTCACTTTCACTCCATGATTCTGCAAGGTTTGAACACTACAGCAAGGTTGTGAGTGGGGGTAGTCATGAATAATCAAGTGTAGTCACTTCATCAGAGAATGTTTAGTTGAAATGTTCATGACATAGCTTCTGATCTTGGTTATTTTAACATCCTGTTTCAGGCCGTGCGCATTGTTAAAGGAGTCTACTCAGTCCTTCCTGTATATGATATAATTGTCCCTGCTCTTCTCAGTAATGGTGTATGGAATCTTTCGAAGACATGTAACCTTGTGCCTGGTGTTCCTGTTGCACCGATGCTTGCTAAATCAACCAAGGCTGTTTCTGAGATAGTAAATAAATTCCAGGATATAGAATTCACTTGTGAATACAAGTATGATGGAGAACGTGCCCAGGTGCTCCTAGGAGAAGCATTTGTGTTTTTAATGATTGCTTTTACTTGTATTTTTCTTGTGACTTGTCTTCCTGTTTTAGATTCACTATATGGAGGATGGTTCAGTTGAGATATACAGCAGGAATGCTGAGCGAAACACTGGGAAGTTTCCTGATGTTGTGGCTACAATTTCAAGGTAACCAGAGCTTGGTTGTGATGATGGACCTAATATGTGATCTGTCGATTGGCTAGCAAATTGTGCCTTGCTTCTAGATACAACCCCATGGCATAGACTATTTGTAAAATTTAGCTAAGTGCATTGATCTTAAGCTTTGTAGGAATTCTTTTTTAATTGCCTCTTGATGAACAAGCAGTGGCATGCTTTTGTTGGTAGCCATAAACATCTTTGGCCTCTCCGTTATCTTCTAATCTTTGACCTCTTCATCTGAGATCAGATCTTGGGTACATGCTTGTCTACCTTTTGTGCATGGATAGAGAACTTTGAAAAAGTAAATAGGATTAGTAATGCAACGTTGGCTCTGCCACTGTTAGATCACTGGTATGCATTTGAGGGATTTCAAGGATTTTGCATTTATGAAATACATTGTTCTAGCATTTGGTTCTTTTTAATTTACACTGCATTAATGTCTTTTTCCTATCCAGGTTGAAGAAGTCTTCTGTGAAATCATTCATTCTTGATGGTGAACTGGTTGCCTATGACCGAGAAAAAAACAAAATCCTGCCTTTTCAGGTTCGATATCTGGGGTTAAATCTGTTAACAATGGACGCCCTTTTTATTGTCTCTCTGAAGTTTCTGAAGAACTTGGAAACTTCAATGAATAAACTGGGATCGTTTATTCTGAATGTGCGTGATGTTCATCTTTCCACCAGATCCTTAGTACCCGGGCCCGCAAAAATGTGGTCATGAGTGAGATAAAGGTTGATGTGTGCATATTTGCTTTTGACATGCTGTATCTTAACGGTGAACCACTTATTCAAGAACAGTTGGAAGTTCGTCGAAAGGTACTTTGCTTGTGTTTTCTTCATTCATGTTGCTTGAGAATCTTGTGGAGTTTCTATTATCGCTTAAACATGTAATATTGCTATCCTTTCTCTGCTTTTGGCCTTTTGGGTGATGACGGATCTTCTTTACAAGATTTACGCCCTGGGTTGGTCGAATGTATTTCATCACTTGTAGCACTTGTTTAAGCCCATCCATCTCCTTTCATTTCTAATTGAGAAGATGGTGACGTTGAAGAAGAACCTGTACACTGTTGTGATTTTTAGCTTCCTCACTTGCAAGCTGCTGAATTTAAGTTCTGAGTGAAGCGTTGGTTCTATAGCCCTATTTTTGAATCATATGCCTTTCTGAAAACAATGATGTGTGACAGTAACTCAGTTTATATTTAAACCTAGGATTGATTATCTGTTGTTGGTTAGTAAAAACTAAAAACTGATTATTGTGATGCACTTGTAAACATCATTGTATCAACTAAGTATCCTGGGGGGTTTGATTCAATTTGTTGAAATAGGTCACTTATATCTAGCCAATATAAATGTCATTATGAAAGTAGGACCATTGCCAGACGTTGACCAGCCCTCACAGACTTTTTTTGGTAGCATTCTCTTTAAATATAATTCACCTTTATATTAATTGTATATTATTAGATTTAAGTATCTTTATGTATTTTTCTTCCCTTTATGGTTACAAAACATACAAGAAGTCCTTTAAATCGTGTATGAATCCCTGTATGTTTTAATTCTAAATGTAAGTTTTCTAGTTTGGGATATAACCTATCTGTTTATGACGTTGGTGGTGGCTTTGACTGTATGCAGCGGCTGTATGATTCATTTGAGGTTGAACCTGGATTCTTTCAGTATGCAACAGCAATAACATCCAACGACCTCGAGGAAATACAGAAGTTTCTGAATGCAGCTGTTGACTCTAGGTTATTTCTAATACTCCTTAAGTTTGTGATTGATATACAGATCACAGTTTCATGAGTGTGATCATATGATCGTGTGTGTGTGTGAGTAACTGTACCTTTTTCATCAACTGGTGCCTGAATCAAATCTATGCAACCTGTTCACTGATTATTATATTTCTCTGAACCTTATGTCCCTAACTTTGAAGCTGGATTTCTGGAATCATTATTACCCCTCATTGTCATGAGCTTTACGATTCAAGGGGTTGGTTCTGTGATGCATAGTTATAAGTTATAACTGCTGTCAACTTTGCTGAGTCTCTTTTTTGGCTTTGCAGTTCTGAGGGTTTAATCATCAAAACACTGAACAAAGATGCTACATATGAACCTTCAAAACGATCTCGCAACTGGCTAAAATTAAAGAAAGATTACATGGAAAGGTATGATATGATTACCCCTTTTATGGATGCTGTCTTGGATCTATATTCATCGACTCTGATCGAAATTAGCAATACAGCCTTGGGGATTCATTTGATCTGGTTCCCATTGGTGCTTTCCACGGTACTGGGAAGCGTACAGGTAATGCAACTGTTGTTGGCTACAGTTGTACTTTCATTATCATGTATATGTTCCATTTTGCTTCATGCTGGTAATGCTGCGCCTTCCTCAGGCTTCTATGGTGCGTTTCTCCTTGCTTGTTATGACAATGACAGAGAGGAATATCAAAGTATCTGTAAATTGGGTGAGAGAACACTGTCTTTTCACTCTGCTTAATTGCTCTTAGGTGCTTTTTTTGTTGTTGGTGAAGTTATTTTGTCATGGTGCGATTCTCAACATTTAAGCAGCGTTTTCTGCTTATGCTTAAGCTGTTTTGTCATTGCTGTGGTACGGCAGGTACGGGATTCAGTGAAGCACAGCTTGAAGAACATTCTACTAGACTACGCACGAAAGTGATTCCTGAACCAAAGGTCTGCTGCTTGTGTTATTGTAACTGTTGACAATGTGGTAGTAAATAGTAGTTAGTACTTTCCCTTTGTTCAGTTCTGACTGTAATGTTCATTTCAGACATACTTCAGGTTTGGAGAGAAGCTGAATCCAGATGTCTGGTTTGAGCCTTCTGAGGTAATAACAACTTATAATTTATATTTCTGAGCAGTTATTTCGATATTTTCCCCCTGTTTCCTGTTTGTTTGGGTAACTACAAAAAAGTGGTCAGCAACTTAAACTGTGGAACCTAGTTGTAACATTTGCTATGTTTGCCCCCTCATTTTCTTGACAAATGAGCAGGTATGGGAGGTGAAAGCCGCAGACCTGACAATCAGCCCTGTCCATTGTGCAGCAATTGGTGCGGTGGATCCTAATAAGGTCTTGCATACTATGATAACTTTCAGATTTTGCTATTGAGCTAGAAACTCATTTTACACAAGTAAACCGAGAACCCTTCTGCTGCAGTGACTAGGGCTATATGACAAGCTGTTTGATTTTTATATTTCAGATGGGTTTCTCTTTCTAATAGTAGTCTGCGTTCTTGGTTCAGGGTATTTCTCTGCGGTTCCCTCGTATGTTACGTGTCAGAACAGACAAGACTCCAGAGGAAGCTTCATCAGCCGAGCAGGTGAATTTCTGTTGCATTACGACTCAGATAAACGTAAATAGGAAATAACAACCTGAGGGAAAGTGAACAAAACCGACAAAGGGAAAAAAGGAGGAAGGAAGATGTAGTTGCTAGCTAGCTGCATGTATCTTTCTTGGCTTGGATCATATGTTACTGATGGTTGCTTGTTTACCAGGTGGCCGAGATGTATAATGCTCAGAAGCACAACCAGCCAAACCCCGAGGCAGATGATGAAGATGATTGAGCGGCAGATTTTTCCGATTTGCCTTTTTATTGCCTTCAAAACACAAGTGTTACTGTTGCTACAGCAAATATCTCAAATTCATTCGACCCTCTTCCAAGAAGCCAGATGGCAGAGTCATGTTTGCTGCACAGTACAGATTGTGTTTGCAGTAAGCTAAACTTAGCACCATGGCAAGCTTAACCCCCTAGAATATTTGTTGTAAGCAAAGAAAAAATTTCATGCTAGAGTTGCAGACTTGTAATGCTACTTAACTGGGTCTGCTGCAACTTCTAAGGTTAGGAGTTAGGACAGAGAAGCACTGTCAATCTGCCACAGAAGTGACTGGAACTTGGAGAATCAATCTAATCAAACAAACAGGCAAATTATATTTGATGTACACTTCCATCTTGCAACTTGCTCTCCCACTTTTATGTACAGTAGGTCTTTGTTTGCTGGTTTCTGGAGTCTTGACTGGAAGGTTCTTTTATGTTCTGCAATATATGTTTGAAGTCAAAGCTTTGTTCTGGACTGTGGAGCATTTGATGAACGGGATTTCCGCTTAAGGTCCCCCAAAAGGCTAAATTGGGAAGGAAGAATAGAAGGTTTGTTTCTCTTACTGGGCTAATGAGATGATGACGATGATGGCGATGCTTAAGAGGTGGGAAAATTCAGGACCTCTTGGCAAATGAAAGAGCCAGAAATAAGACAGTCTTTTGCTGTCAGAGTTATTTTCAGGGACTTTTGGTCCAAGTCTGCAATCTTCTGCCGTGTAGACCAAGGAAGCATGTCATGGAATGGCGGCCTTTTTAGGTGTTCCAGCTGCAGTTGACAGCCAGCTTCAGTCGCCAATATCAAATATGGGTTTGCCCGCTGCTTCACGTACTATCAGGTTTTCAATTCCCCACTCTTTCCCATTACGTGCTTCTCGAAGTTCTCTTGCTCGGAGCTTTGCTAAAATTATGAACAGAGACGGAGATTGCATGAACCGTGCATGCATTAGCCTAATTTACAAAAATATCACCACATACATTTGACGATTTAGATTGCAGTATCGTTTGAACTTCGGTGCAACGATGTCTACAGAGGCTCTATCCTGTCCATATTAACAAAATTGCACTTGATGTGGCAAGTGGCATTATTGTGAACTTTCTGGCTACCGTTGAATAACACAGAGTCGTTTCTGTGCTTATTTGACTTGGTCATTGGGCAGTGTGAACTTCCGGTATAGGGTTGGTTTATACTCTATAGACTGTAGCGCAGGGTGTCCTATAAACACAAAAGTAGCAGGCTAGACGACTTAAGGATGCAGAGTTGTTCTTTTCTTTTCCATTAATAATATAAACGAACTTCTAAGAACAGTGGGAGGTTTTGTTAATGGGGGGAGCAGGAAAAGAGGCTTTACCCTCTTTGAGGGAGCAATAAATCAAAAGGAACATACAATCATAACATAATTCTTCCTTTTCCTTTGTAAATTACAACAATAACACTAGTTTGCCTGCTCAATAGTGAACACTAATCTCCATTATCACACTAACCATACATCATCATCACCCACCACCACCGCCATGAACAGCGACAGTGACACCAGCAGCTGCAGAAGAAGAAGAAGAAGAAGAAAAAGAGCAGTAGATAGATCCTGAAATGGGATTTGTGGGGATCCACTCTCTCTACCTAAAAGGAAAAGTCTATGTGACCTATCTCTCTCTCTCTCTCTACTGGTTGTTGGCCTTCTTCTCAACCTTTACTTCTCTTTCAAACTTTACCACCACCAAATTCTCAACCACATCCACCATTCCCCTCGGATTCTCAAGAAGGGAAAAAACAAGCAAACAAACAAACAGGAAATCAAGAGCAACCAAACATTACTTACTACATTGTAATCAATCACACTTTGCTGCTCTTAGCCTTACACAAAGTGTATCTCTCTCATCTCAAACTCCTTAGCTATATTTCAAGGAGAGAAGATTTGTATGTCAAAACCTCCTCCATAACTAAATTCCCCTGCCCTTCAATGGGGGGAAAAGTGAAGAAAATGCCTAAAGGCTCAAGCTTTCTCTTCTCCAACACTACCATTACTACTACTACTCTGCCCCCATCTTCCACTTCTCATCAAAAGTGGAACTTTGGAAGGAAGGAAGCTGCTAAAAAACAAGGAAAATGAACAAACCCTCTCTATGTACAAAAATGGCTGCTTGCTCCTTTGCCATACTACATCAGTCCCTCAGAATTAACCCTCCTCTAAGGCTTTAGTGGTAAAACTTGGGAGTAAAGTAAGAGTCTTTAGTTTTGTGATACCTTGGAACTAAAAAGGAAGAAAGAAGAAACTAGTATATAGTTTTTTTTTTTTTTGGGGGGTGTAATGAGATGTTAATGGAGAGCTACTCTGTGGAACTTAGTTTCAGTTGGGGACTCACAGAATCCACCATCGGGAACAACCCTCTTCCTGCTGCAGAACCCATTCCCGTTGAAGGAGGAATCCTGCGGCAGAGAAGTCGCCGGGAACGTCACCGGCGGCGAAAGGATAGTCACCGGCGGTATCTCAAATGACTCGAGCGGTGGGGGCGGGTGCCTCCATTGAGGAAGCGGCCCAGCCAGAAGCAGAGTCTGCAACAGCGGCCCTGCTTTCATCACCGCCTGCAGAAGCTTCCCCTTTTCCGGCAACGGCTTCTCCGGCTCCGGCAGTAGCACCTCCCCTGCTTCCTCCGCCGGCAGCGGCAGGGGCAATTGTCCTGCCTGCGGCTGTGGAATTGGGTCGAGAACCGGTGAAGAAACGATGCTCTCTTCACAATCCGAAGACGAGAACCCATTGTTGTTGTTGTTGGAGTCGATTCCTCTTCTGGGTTCATCCTCAATGCTGGAAATCCCGGACAAAGGAGGAGCATTTTGGTGGTAATTTTGGTGGAGCAAGAGGTTCTCGAGCAGAACCCTCTGGCATTTCTCCTGAGCGTCGTCTCTTTCACGAATTGCTTTCCCGAGAAACTCCTTGAGCTGAATCAGCTGGTCGTCTCGCTTCTTCAGCTCCTCCTGAGCCGCCATCCGGGTCTGCTCGAGCTCCATGGTCGTGTAGAGGAGTGAGTGCTTCAGTTCGTCCATGCTCTGTAAATGTGGAAATTGGAATTCCTCTGTTTTAGATACTCAGGGGAGGGATAAAAGGAGAAGGGGAAGAAATGTTAATGTTACCTTTCCATGGCAGAAGTAAGCCCAGGTGAGAAGAGAATTCCTGTGGCAGTCCATGGTTGTTGTGTTGGTCTCTGCTGCTGCAACTGTGAGTGAAGTAACGACTGAAGTGAAGCAGCGAGGGGAAAGAGGGAGGGAAGAATTGTTTATAGAGAAGGGGAAAAGGCAGGGGACAGAGAAAGATAAGGAAGTTTTTTCCTTTTTCTTTTTTTTCGGCTAGAGGGTTTTTGCTTTTTTGAGTTGGGTTTAGGTTGGGTCTTATAGGGAGGGAAGGGAAAGCTGGATTGCCGCGTTTTTATGTTCTTACTAGTTTCCCACTCAAAAGAGTGAATGAGGATGTCTTCTTTCACCGGATCCATAAAGAGAAACTTACAATAAGCAAATCCGTCTTAATACGCTGGTTTGCTTGTTGTATTTGAAAATAAACGTTTTGAGTTTTGAAATTTTTTAGATTTATGATAGATTTGTTGCATTTTATATTTAAAAAATAACTTTGTTTGTTTAATTGATTTTTTTTGTCATGGGTTAAGGTGATTTTATATATGGGTCTCGAAATTTTGTCTTTCATGACCAAATACTCAATAAAATGTGGTATTTGCAAATACATAGGGTCCACGGATTTGGAGCTAAAAAATTGTCCAAATCCATGAACCCCACTAATTTGCATTTCTTAACAAATAATGTTATTGCCCAAAAACATAATGGTTGGTATTTGAGAACCAAATCCAGCATCCAAATCTCATAAGCAAACAACACCTAAAAGTTATTTACTACGATGGGTGGTGTACTCTCTGAGGCTAGCTTATGGTGTTTTAGTTATTAATGATCATGGACAAATTGTATTTAAGAGTCTATATAATTATTTATTATATCTCGATTGAATTTTTTTTTTTAAACTTGAATCTCGATTGAAGTTGAGGTAATGGTTCTTTTCAGAAATATGGATTTGAATATGTTGTCCAATCAGATTGTTAAATTAGTTCAGGAATACGAATTTGAGTGTGGCGTTCAATCAGATTGTTGAGTTATTCTAGCATTTGCTGAAGATTCTTCTTGATGACAATGAAGGTGTGCGACTTGGATTGGTTTATGTTCTTTGGATGAGCTCGAAAATGAAAGTTAGAAATGCATTCCGGAAAAATACGCATAAGAGATTAACTTCTTGAGATTGTTTCTAGTATTGAGTTGACGGGGAACGAACCTTGCTTATTTTTACTGCAATTTAAGAAGGCTTTTAAAAGTTAGTTTTATCATTGGGTTAAAAGGAATGCTAATGCTTTTTTTTGTGTATTTTTCTTGAGGCGTTGGGTTTGGGAGTGGGACTTTTGTGTGTTGTTATTTTGTCCAGTGGCGGACACTACTGGAGGTTGGAGAAAGGCACAAAAAGCCAAATAAATAAATAAATGTGAATAAATTAATCATATAACTACACTACTCCTCTCTAGTCTCTACTCTCTTTTTTGAAAAATAAAAATAAATGAATTTGGCCAATATCCTCCCTCTCTTTTTGTCAGCTTCTTCCTCTGCGGTAGTCTTTTTCTGTTTCTGGCGGGAAATTCGGTGAGTATTTTGTACTTCATTAATTTAATTGATTGGTCATTATTACTAGTACCAGAAGTTTTTTTTTTTGGTTGGTATAAAATATTACCATAGTGATACAGTAATGGTAGATGATGGTAATTTAGCCTGAGAATTTGTGGTATTATCTGTGAAAAAGGTTGATCGGCTCAAGATACGGTGCATAATATGCACCTATTAATAATTAAATATGTATCCTTCATTCAGAAAATTAGATCTAAGAGTAGATAATTAAATTTTTTTATTGTTTCCTTGTTTTCTTAATCGGCTACTATCTAACTCGGATTTCAATTTTGTTTGCACAGATAGAACGAGTTCATTGTTCTCTACAAAATGATATTCATTTTCAATAATTTTTGAGAATTTTTTTTTTTTGACCTCTTGGTACCAACTGCATATCATATGGTATCTTCTTCGTTTTTAATTCATTTTGAAATTTTTTTCACTGAAGGAACGAGTTCATCATGATCTATTGGATCTACAAATTTCTGGGTGAACAAAATACAAGATCAAAAAATATCATACAATACCACCCTGGTACGGGGTGGTATCTTGTGGTACACAATGTTAAAAGTCGTAAATGACAGTTAATATACTTCTACTATCATGTATTCAACCATCCTACAGTCTTGGTTTGTTCATACCACCATGGTACGCTTTTCATACCATAGATATGCTCTTATTTCAATACAGTCAATACCGTATGGTATAGACTGGTAAAAAATGACAATTTTTTTGTTCCAAAAATATATCAAAGTGAATATCATTTTGAAGAGCACAATTAATCTGACTTAAATGTGTAAAAAAAATTAAATTTTGACTTAAAACGATTGAGAAATCGTCCGTTAAATATTAAGGAGAAAAATTAAAGACTTTTCAAGAGAGAGAAGAGATGGTGATGTGGTAAATTCTGATTGAATTATGCATAGTTATTGATCAAAGGTTATTGACTGGATCCGCTCCCGGTTGATCGTAGCGGGGAAAAAGGTGGTTTCATTATAGCTAGTTGCTATCACATTTTTTTATTGTTCTTTGAAATTATTATAAGCATCAAATTTCCACCTATTACTTTGATGATTAGTTAGGAGTAACATCAGTCGCCATCATCGATTCGGGGCACTCGATTATATTGGAATTCTACAAGGAAAAACTATCATGATTCGTGCACAAGAATGATACGTATGAATCGAGAAATAACATTAACGTTAGGAGTTACACATTTACAAAGTCTAAGTGCGATAATCGATAAATAATACATATTAGCTAGAATCTCTCATATTTTACACACAGACTAAGCATACAGTAATGAATGTACGTGGTGGTCATCAATACAATTCACTAACCAAGTAACCAATATTTTTCCATTTGAATTATTAGTTTCTAGGGTTTTCAGTTTCTAAGGTATTAGCTAGGCCTAGAACTTTCAATGTCAGAAGTTTGAAGCCCTTTTCTTTTGTCTCCATCTTATTGTTTTCCCTGCAATAAACCTAACAATTTTGGCTTCTAATAAAACCCAATTTGAACGTTCTGAAAAAATTCCCGCAAGAAATTTGTAATTTTTCTGTGGGATATTTTTATCTAATGCAGCCATCTTATAGAGACCAATAATAATAATTAAATGTATTTTTGACTTTTATAACCAACCATTAGGTGACTTTCCCAAGAGCAGGTTTTTTAATGAATGACAAAGGAAGGGGACATTTTAATTATAAAATTAAATACAGTACTTTAATTGACTAACGTACGTCTTGGCTGCATGGTGGAGAGAATAATTACTAACTAAGCAAATAATAGTACTACAAAGGGTCTTTGGTGTTTGGTTTCATGTCTTTCCTACTTTGTCTGTGGAATAATTCTCCCTACGAGAAGGCAGCCAAGAATGTACTGCCACATTCCCTCCTTAATAAACTATCCCAACCAACCAAACAAGTACGATGAGTAGCGAATAATTGATCGTTCAAACTTGAAAACTTTCACTAAATCTATTTGCAGTTACGGTATCGTTGAACAACTAGTGTTTTGATGTTTGTGTGTTGTTCATTTCTATTTCAAGCTCATGCGTGCGTGCATTTGGTAAGAAACATACTTCCTTCCCTTCACTTCTCAATTCTTATATAAGTATTAAATTGTTGGATGTACAAACATTTTGAGAGATTATCATCCAAAAGTTATGTAGTCACTAGTCACGTACAATGGGAAGGTGAGAACTTATGATGTCATAACAGAGCAGGTAATCGACTGAATAAGAAAGAAGATGGTCATAGTACGACTTCTGCTAGCTAGTCGGCGGGAAGTGTAGACCAATTTTCTAATTCAGTGCATATTCTATAGGAGTTAGGAGGTTTATATCAACACCCTCCAAATGAAAATTCAAACACCTTGTCCAAACAAAAAATAACGAGATATCGCGACTCTCAATTGGTGCCCGATAACCAAATTCAATAAGTTGGAGAAATAAAAATTTGTATGTGCTAAAATATGTTACAATTTCGTAAATTCACATTCATTTAATTACCTAAACGTCGCTATACATTGGCCAAGGAAAAAAAGAGGTGTTATCTAGCTAGAAATTCCAAGAGAGGACTGTGTATATTTTAGATAGAAGTCATTTCGAGGAATTTCACAGGGAGGAAGATTTTTTCAAGACTTTAGAAATCGGGGGTTATGTAATGTAATGTAATGTAACGTGGGGAACAACAAATGATTAGCATGTCTTGTTTGACAAAGATAACACAACAACGGTTGAGAAAAAAAAAACAAATTTCATATTCATACTCACCACCAAATGGCTCTCATTTCTGACTTTTCACAGGCTGCTTCTGCATGTGCCCTTCATGCTCACCAGCAGTCACCGTATGTGGAATCCAAAATGGAATTGAAATTCAATGCCCTTGATGTTACAATTTGTGGTATTAAATTCTTCTATTCATTCCCCAAATCTTCATTGGACTGACATGCGATATTCCTATAAAATCTCAGACGACTAGCTCTATGTTTGAATCATCAGAATGTGAATCTTCGATCTTAAAATCGAGTATTTGGTAATCTAGGGTCGTTTGGAAGTTGTGATTTCAAATGGTGTATTGATTTAATTCATATATTTGTAAGATTAAGGGGTCGTTTGGAAGTTGCGATTGTTAAATAGATATATTGTTGAGAATTCATGTATAATATTATACATGTATTGTCGAATTTGATGCATTGTAGAATACAACATTTGGTATGTGTGATTGTGATATGGTGATACGTATAGTATTGTGAATCTTCATTGGACTGACATGCGATATTCCTATAAAATCTCAGACGACAAGCTCTAAGTTTGAATCATCAGAATGTGAATCTTCGATCTTAAAATCGAGTGTTTGGTAATCGATAAAATTTGTTGGGGTGGGCTTATAAGTGGTGGGAGATGCACTTGTGATACGGTGATACATATAGTATTGTGTAGAATGAAGGTTTTATGAGACTTTATATACGCGCGCGTGAGTGAAACTAGCGTACTCGTGGAGCATGCGATACTCTGATATTCAAAACGAGGCGGTGTTAGTGTAATCACGAATCGACCTGAATTTTCGGGTATGGTACAGTGAGTCTCGGATCATATTTCTTCAAAAATTAACTTTAGAATCAATTCAATACAAAAAAATAATAACAGGTGATTCCGATTTATCGAATTTATATTAGTTTGATGAGGTTGTTGTGGATAAGTTTGTTGGATAGAACCTATTCTAAAATATCAAACATCACTCTCTTTTTCAGTTTGTTTTCCATCACTTCCATTTCCATGAGGGAGTCAATGTTGCAGTGCCATTGGTCAGCAAAGGGAGCTGGTAACCAAACTTTCCCACCAATATGTTTTTGCCCTCAACAAAGGTAATAACTAATTGGCTACAATTGCCTTTGGATAGGGATTTTGGACCCCTCTTTTGAACACCACTCCTAAAGTCCTCCATTGTAGGAAAATATAAGAAGGCTTTCCTTTGACTATTTCTAGAATCTAGACTTGCATATAAAATTGTAAAAATCTCTTCCCACCACACCCACCGAAAAATAAAATCAATAACTATAAAGGGTTATTTAGAAAGCATCAAGCTTTTCAGAGTAGTGTTGTCATTCAAATCGATCAAGCAACGAACGCAATCTCGTTCCATTCAACATAAGATGATGCCTATCATCAGCATGTGAGCCTCATACTTGCTTATCTGTCGCTTCTAACTCGAAATTGGAAGATTTATTTATCCTACTTTTATCAAGAGGCTAAATTTCTTGTTGATTATTTAGAACAAAAAGAGCATCCTATGTTCGTAAGGAACTTATTTAGCTAGTATAGTCAATCACACATTGTTAGGTATTGCTCTCTGTATGACACTATTGCAAGCTTATACCCCATCTGATTGATACATAGGAGTTTTTATAATTGCTTTGCTCCCTTTCGACCAAAAAATATAATTACTTTGTTCTAATAGTGAGTGAAAATCCATACGATATACATATAATCGAAACCCATAAGTTAATCCCAACAAACATTTTGGTGGGTATTAAATAAATTGTGCGCCGCGCCTTTACGTCCCATCCAAAAGTTGAGTTTGTGGGTTCACTTTCACTATATATGCTTTGCTTTATCAAAATTCACCTGCATCTCTGAGTGCTATGGTGTTGTGTTTGAATAGCTAGCTAGGTTCCCGCCAAGCCCACGCCACGCCACAAATATGAACAAGTTCAAAAGCATCTCTAAGCTAGCAAGCTAGGGTTTTGGTTTCCGTCGTTTTCGTTTTCGGCATTTTCACGAGCAAGCAAAAGGCCAAACGAAGAATTTGGCATTTCAAATGTCTCTGCTTTCGCATTTGGGTTCAAGCAATAAGCTTTTTTATCCTGAAACGAAGTGAAAGCGAGGTTCCCTTTCCTGTCTCTTGTTCTTGAAGTTGTGTGTTTGGATTTGATTTTTGGATGTACTTGAGTGAGTCAGTGGGTTTAACATAAATAGGGAGAGTTTTCAGGGTTTATTCATGTTACCTTCCTTATAGAGTTTTTGGATTTGATTTTTTGAAGGGCATGTTTCTTCATATAGAGTAAGGTACGGCAACCCCTTATTCTATCTTAGGCACGTGGAGAAAGACCAAAACCGCAACAATGTATGTGGGCCTTTCTGGGCGTTAGGTTCACAACTGGTTTGAAAACGATTAACTCAATTGTGCACGAGTACGAGGTTATTAAAACGAGCTCTCGTAAGAGTTTAAAGACACTTCTTGATCAACATCTTTTTGTTGCGCACGATTCCCTGTCGTGATTACTGATTAGTCCATGTCATTGTCATAAGTCTTATTTGTGGTTAGTGATCCTTGTATATATTACTTTGACACCATAACATTGTCTCCACACACTCCTTTGTATTTGTTTCAAAATGCATGGAATGCCAATAGGTAGCTAACTTAGAAGTTATTCATGCACTTTCAAGTCAACCTAGCTACTATGTCTTTGTATCAACCAGAGCCCAGAGGCATGTATTATTCTTTGCTCTCTGTTAGAATGTGGTATAAGATCCACGATTGAATCTCTTCCAAAAACTCGAGTTATTGGGATCAACCGGTTCTTGACACTCTCCACGTGGCAAAAAACAAATATTTGAGTTAAAATAAATAAGATATGTTCATTAAAAATGAATGGAAGAATGAGTTATATTGTACACCCAATGCACATGACAGATGAAATTTTACATAAAGTTATATAGATATCAAATTGTACACTCAATCCACGCACTCTTATTGATATATATAATGTTATCCACCTTAACTAAGGGGTCATTTGCTTGAGTCATTTGATGTCAAATGACTCGTTTACTAAAGAAAAAAGGCATGAGTCATTTTGTCCATATGAAAGTCTCAAATGACTCTATCGAGTCATTTCCAAATGTCTCATATCCATGAGTCATTTTCAAATGACTTATTATTTAGACCAAATGTTCCAACTATGTCCTTAACTATTTTATTTAAACCCACTTATATCCTTCTCTTTCGATTATTTTTATGTCATTATTTTGTCTTCTCTCGGAGTTATTTTTTTTCTTTCTCCCAAATTAAACAAGCTACGAAGAAGGCTATCTACATAGCGGCACATCTTTTTTGTCACAAACACTATCATTTGTAATTAGTTGAAAATTCGAGAGTTATGGAGGCGTTACCATTTACAAAGGAAGTTAACATAGAATTATTATTTTAAATTAGAAAGTAGTATTATCCATGAAATAATATGCTTTGTTGATTTTAAATAATTTGTTTACATGGTTGTTTTATTAGAAAAAGAAACAAGACAATGAAACATATTAAATGTAAGGTCAAAATGATAACTTTATACAAATGACTCATCTAAAAACTTTTAAATAAACAATGCATTTGTAGTGTCTACATTCTCAAATGTCTATATTTCTAAAATGCCTATATTTGAACAAATGACTCTTTTGGTAAATGACTCATGCAAACGAACCCTAAATCAAGTAATCAACCCATTCATACTTATTATGCAGTATACCTCTAACACAACCCACCGGAAACAGCAATCTCAACATTACAAGGTTTGAGTAATACTTATAGGTTAAACAATGTCATTTAAGCGTGTTATTAAGATGATCATGATCATAATGTTAATCACATCATGGTAATTCCAATAATAATAATCGGCATGTCATTGGGATGGTGCTAATTGGTTATAGTGTATGTATTGTATAGTATAAAAGTATGAACACCAAACATCATTCTTAATTAATAATAAGATTCATTAAAAGAAACAATCACTGTTAATAAGTAATCATTACAGGTGAAGATTGTAAGCCACTTGACACGATCGGGATCCATCAAATTGCCTTCTTTTTCGAATATAGTTTTTGCTTTTTCCATTGGGGTATGGACTATGGAGAAGAGAAAATCTTCGTGGAAAGGCAGATATATGATATATCTTCCTTAAAATACCACACAAAAGGATGGCGACAACATGCATCATTACAATATCATCTTTACCAAACATATACCTATTTGGCTAGCCTACCACGATCCTACCATAAGTTAAAAAAAAAAATTAGGAGTACCATTTGAATACTTTTCAGGATGCGCCTATGGTAACATGCATGTCACCGTGATTTGCACTTTTCGGTCGTTAATTAGGATTAGGTCGACCTAATAAGTTGTTTCAGTGTAAAAATAGTTTTATGGTGCCTACTTTGGAGATTTATATCTTACAATTGGCTCGATGAAAATTAGAGATTAATGGCTTGTTTTGAAGCTGGAGTGTCCATCTACACATTGA